TTGTGTTCTCTTTCTTCTTTTTTTCAGCATGGAATAAACCTATTACTTGTTCCTTTATAGTTATTAAAATCAACTTAATTGTAAATTGGCAACACATTTTAATGTTTATCAACAACTTTAGAAGTAAACTGGGGTTTGATTGTGTTAAGCTTAATGCTGTTACAGTACATTTAAGCAGGGTAATGAAAAATGGGATAACAATTCTAAAATATACAGAAAGTGAACACTCTTAAGAGTGAAACCTCCCTTTTATACCACCAGTTGAGAAGCATTTTTGCACCAAATATAAAACGTGACAGAATTTCCCAAATCATCCCACCACCTTATCTCTGAATCCAGGTCCCGATCTGGCTTAGCAATGCGCTGGCCTGGGAGTGCCAGACACTGGAGAAGATGCCCCTGTTAGATCACCAGATTCTCCGCAGCGCACAGGCTGAGCCACAGTTAAAACAGGCCATTCAATGAGCTGTGAGTGTGTGGAGCATTGCCCTGGCGTGAAGGCAGGAAGGATAATGTAGGCAAGTTTAAACAAACCCGGCTGGCCCTGACGTCTCTCCGTGCAGACCGGCTGAAGCAGGTCGGGCTGCACAGCTGGGCTTTGTCCAGATGCACGCCCGTCCACCCCCCTCCTAGCAGGGAAGGGAGGCAGTTTTAGAGGGATTATTTGTTTCATCCACTTATTTCATTTATCTGGAGTGACACCAGAGCTGGCTACAGTCCGCACAAACTGGGACATGAATTTCTGAATTGAAGAATCAATAGAAGGCCCAGTAGGCTCTAGAAAATGCTCACAGGGGACTGTCACTTCCAGCTTCTCTTTCCAAGAAGAAGTCAGAAACGTGTGTTTTAGAAGCAAACATTTACAAGGCAGGTGTTATCGAGGCTTTGTGAAATGAATAAACTTGCGGATTTCTTAAGTTCTATGTTTTTAGCTTTAAACAGTTATAGTCAAAAGCAGGTCCATGCAGTGTGAATCTGAATGTTTTCCCCATGTGAAATAGTCCAGGTCCCTCGCAGTGTGTCTTTTACACAAGTGTGCGTGGTGTGAGCTGAGACTGGGAGGATACCAACACTTACCTGTAACTTTCACATACTAATTGGCCCTTGTGAGGTTAGTCAACTCACTGATTAAAGAACGATTATAAGTGATAGCTAATAACAGTGTTTCCAAAGCAGGGCTCCAATTGTCTGTGCCCTGTATATAGTCAAATTCAAAATTCTCATAAATTCACCTAGATTATTTGACTTTAAATGACGCCTTTATTTGCCTTGCAATGAATGCTTGTCATTATTACACTCACTTCAGTAATTAGAAACAACACGTATTCGTTTTACCAACCTTTACACTTGTCCTTGGTAAAACAGGGGTTCTTATATCCATGGGGCTGGACTCCAGCTGTCTGCGGATAAGTGTTTGCCGTGATCAGCCACAGGAAGTTAAATACATTTCTTATGAGGACACTATACCCTTGGGGGGGGGTTATATCTTTTTGACAACCTAAAACACAGGATATTAAAGATTTACATAATCAATGCTAGGTCTGCTTTGAAAAACGAGGAGGCAAAAGAAGACTGAAAAGACTTCCTTCTTTGAAGAGAGCCTGCCATGTTTTAAATAACAAATAGGGAACCGTTCAAGATCCCAGTACTGGTCCATTTCAGAATATATGCAATTAGGAAAGTCTTTCCATCTGAGAGGCAGACTTAACCGAGAACTCATTTCTTAGCATTGAATGCTAACAGCCAATTGTAACGTCATTAAAAATTTGAATATTACTATTTTTTTTAATATGAAGGATAGGCTCACTGATCTGCATTTTCCCATGTTGTCTACTCCGAATGGACCCGAGGGATATTTTCTTATTCAGAAAGAACCTTTCAAGGTTGAATAAAAGAAATGGTGCAGGGTCCCTAGGAGAGGGAAGTGATCATCATTTTCACCTTCAACTCCTCTTTGATGTGGCAGAGTCAATTTTTAATCAGCAACCATCAGGCTGGGCTTCATTTCTCCTTACAAAGTCCTATTACTCTGCCACTTTCTGGAAGAAGGTGATAAGGACAATACTCTTCTTTTTCGCCTTCATAGAGCTCTGCGTATGACGAGTCCCTTTGGAGAGGCGTGATAAAAAATGAGCAAGCACGGGGAGGATAAAGGTCACCTCTCTGCCAGGATTAACCCCTTCTCCTGCGCCAGCACAGCACATCGGCGGCTTCGGGGCTCCTCCGCTGTCCTGCAGCCAAGACGGCTGCCAACGGAAAAGGTTAACAGGCCTGAAGGCCTCGGCGATGATGAAGCACACATACCGGCGTACTCACCCAGCGGCTGTCACTCATATGGTCTGTCGTTTCTACCCGGCAGAAATGTGGTTCTGTTCTTCTAAAAGTGGAGGCTGCCTCCACATCTACCCTCTTTTTTTTTTTACAGTGAGAGGGTAGGGTACACCGTGAGTCAATCTGTGTCAGACTGTCAGCTTGCTCTTGAACAGTCGGCCCTGCATTCGATTGCTGTTGAGGTGTAGATGTTCACATAAGGTCTTTCTGTATCAATATAAATAGAATATTTGTAAGTTAGTGTATATTGAAATACTATTTTTCTGATGTAGTTGAACATCGTGGTGTGTTGACAGCAACAGTAATGTTTTCTACTTTCTTATTTAAAATGGGAGTAATTATTTTTTAATTTAGATCAGATCGCATTTCTTGACAATTTAATGCAATAACATTATGTATTTAAAATATCAAAGCAAATCTGTAGCGAATCTCATTGCTTCCTGTCTGGAGGTATTTTTTTTAAAATGCACATCATGAAGTCAAATTTGCATTTTCTTTCCCCCTTATAAGAACCTCAGAAACGCAAAGCTGATAAATGTGTGTGTATCACAAAAATCCCAAAGACAGTTTAGAAAATGAATTATAAAGACAACAAAGGACTTTGATAGTAACAGCATATTGCAACACCAGCAGGGTGTGGATACGATTATAAAGCCGTCTCTTAATCATTGAAAATGCACAGTTTTACACTTTAATAAAACAAAAGAAAACCATTTGTTATGGTAAATTTAGGCTGTGCATTTTTGGCTATATCTAAACAGAGCACACAGGAAGAATGAAAATTCACTTTATATTATTCATTGTAGACACAGCCTTAATTACCTCGCTGAAATGGATTGGAGATCAGGGAATTATGGAGTAAAATGATGTTACCAGCTTACAGTGTTCATATTTCTGGTTATAATCTCATTTGAAACATCAGACCGGTAGGTGAGGGGATACACACACATGCTAAATGCATTTTAAGCAGGGACATCCATAGTGATAGCCATGCAGTTATATGCATTTTAATGCTGGAATAAATTTATGCTATACTAAAATCAGCTAGGTAATTGTCAACATCCCAGTAGGAAAAGGGTTATATGGTTCACATAAAAAGGACGCTAATTTTGGAAGAAACAAAAATACTGAAACTGCAGTTTTTAGGGTACTAGTATTTTCCAGAAGACCACACACACTAAACCACATGTTCATTAAGTAAAATTACTGCAGGAAGTTGAGGATGAGAGAAGCCCCAATACTGGTTTCTTTGTATGAAAAATGCTAGCTGTGTTGAAAATTAGAACTCATGTTAGGGAGGGGGCATGAATTAATCCTTCAGCCAAGCTAGAATGAATTTAAAACACATCAAAAGCGAGCTTAACCTCTGTAAACTTAACCCTGTTTTCAAGAACAACAAATGATCATTCTCATGATTGTTTCCAAGGGACTGTTTCTCTGCAGTGCTTTTGGCTTGAGCTGTAAACCTTAAATGCTGGCGGTTTTATCCTTAATGACTATATTTATGAGTGTCTGTGAATGCCCATATACAGTACATATATATACGTGTTTGTATTTTTATTTACTGCGACAAATGACAAATACCACTAACAACCCCTGCCTTCCCTCATTAAAACGTGTAATCCTTTGAAACATAGTCAGTTTCTTAATGTTGTTCTGCATCTTGGGGATAACTCAGAGAAAATACCAGGCACAACCTCCTGGATTCAGGATGGTCTCATTAATGAAGGAAAACAGGGCTGATGTTATACGACTCTTTATCCTCTCCTACCTGGCCACTTTCATCCAGAGCACCACAGCACTGGTGAAACTGCCCTTGCTCTTGCTCCAAAACCAAACTGCAGAGGGTGAACAGTCAGCAACATGAGGACCATGTGGCAAACACTGTCCAATACAAATATTTATTCCAGCCACAACTCTTACGAGCTGTTTCTTAGATTTAAATGCTTTTCTGTAATGTCTGATCTTGCAGTACAAACAGAAAAAAATGTCCAAGACGGCAGGCTAAACAAAATCTACAGTAAATTAGAGCTTAATAATCATGTCTTGTAATTTATATTACAGATGTTCGCTTTATATTTTAACCAAAACATTAATTTGTAGGGATCTGTCCCTGGTGCACATGATGTGTGAAAGTAGAACAGAAAACGTCCAGAAAGGGACATTAATTGAACATGTTATTGGTATGCAAAGGAACAAGTAATAGGTTTATTCCATGCTGAAAAAAAGAAGAAAGAGAACACAACGTTTCGGCAGTGGAGCCTTCTTCAGGTGTCATACCAATGTTATTGGTATGACAAGACGAGATGCACAGCTGTTCAAACAGAGGTGAAAGTGACCACTGTCTCTCTACTAACAAACCAATAATATCTAGTGTTTCAGTGGCAAATTTTATCGGTTTATCACAAAGTACAGCTAAACTTGACTACATTTGTATTTTGTTTTGTAGCAATGATCAATATATGATGAGTGAAAACTGCTATTTTATAAAGTAGTTCAGAATTTACATATGCTTTTGATAACTGATTACAACCATTAGGTCCAATATTTAACATTGCAGAGATTACCCTTAAAGAACTAGTGCAGAATAGGTTATATGTCAACAGTAAAAAAATGTAAATGAAAAGGACATTATCAGCAGGCAAGACAAACACAGAAGGTGATTCTCCCTCTTTTATTTATGAGAACACAGAACCACAGGATAGAGATGGCAGATAATTTCCTTTAGACACAATATGGCCCCAGGCATTTTAATGCCAGTACTTGTAGGAAAATATGTCACTGACCAATAACTACTGTAATAAATTAAACATGTATTTGTAAATTAATCATTCCAGTAAGAACAGGGCCACAGCCTCTCTTGAAATGATAGGTAAGAAAAATTTTAACACAAAGAAAATGGAAAAAAAAAGTTTCACTCAAGGCAAATCATTTTTTAAAATATTTTAGCTTATGCAAATGTTTAGCTCTTTCAAAATATTTGCTCATTTTTGTTTAAAAAAAATATTTACTGGCTCAATATACCAATCTGTGATCATGTAACTTTAGGTGACTATTTTATTTTTTAAACAAAGGAAAAACAAAACACAAAATAAATTCTGATACTTGTTTTCCAAAAATGTGTGAATCTCATGACCTTTGGACCTTCCCGGCTTCCACATTTGGAGAAGCGGCATGTGCTTGCTGGATTTCCACAGTGAGCTCATTCATTTTCTCCGACCAGTACTCTGTGCTCTCCTGCAGCTGTGCAGAGAGCTCTCCAACTCGCTGGATCCAGTACGATTTATTTAGCGAGTCGCTTATCCTGGGTTCTTCAAGATCCCTTCTTGTTAAAGTTTCTGTTCCTTCCCTTTCAGAGGTCCTGAAGGGCTCTTGTCCGAGCTCCGGGTATAAATGTGAAATGGCATCTGGGTCAGAGGGCCGCGCCCCTTGGTGGCCGAGAGGCCGTCTCTGCTCCTGCGCCGTCTCTCGAGGGGCCCTGGGGGAGGGCGAGGCCCGCGAGCAAGTCTCTAACTGCCGCTCGAGCTGGTTTCGCTCGGCGCGCTCCGCCTCCAGCAGCTTCCTCTGACTCACGTTCTCCTTGCTCAGCGCGTTGAGCTGCCGACAGGAGCGAAAAGGGAAAGAGCAGCAGGTTAAAAACATTACGGGGAAAGTACAGAGTCATCCTAAATGAACTGTTTGCATAAGTTCTCGACGGGAAGCAAAAAAAATATTTAAATAGCTAAAAAGCTAGTTTTGTGTCATCTGAAATGTCGCTTCTTATTAGGCGTTTCCTTGTTAAAGTCGAGTTCATTACACAGGATTTGGTACTTTGCTTTAAATACTGTATTAACAATAATGATGATGACAACGTCCTCTAATCCCTGAGCCACATACTAGTGCTCAGTCAGCAACAGCATTTTCTATTTAGAGTGCAGTGTCCACATGAGCAAGACAGAGATGGGAAAGATGAACACAAGTTCTGAGCACATGTTATTAATGGCCATGACCCTTCCTAAACACTGCCCAGCACCCATTATTTAAAGCAAGAACATGTTTTAAGCAGTCTGATACAGCAACCTGGATCCCAAATGCAAGGCTTTTTATGTAAAGAAGTTCTGGGAAGGATGGAAGAAAACATACAGAAACCATGAAAAATGCCATCATTTGCACACTACAAAAAACAATTTTAAAAATGAGAGAATACATTTAAACAAAAACACAGTCAAACCACAAAACAAAACAAAGTGCTCTCAAAAAACACTCTGGACAATGACATCATGGCTGAAGAGAAATAAATTAAATTGTGACCCATTTAAAAGACCTTATACTAAGAATAAAAGACCAAGCAATTATTTATTTTTGTACTGTAATTACATTTCTATGTGCAGTCAATTTTCTTGTTTCACACTGACAGCAGAAATTAAGAAGAATTAAAAGAGAGTAATTAGATAGGCATTAGAGGGTCACTGCAGAGACCACATCTTTATTTTTAACATAAAATATTAAGGGAAATCTAGGCAGCTTGTTTATTCTAGGAAATGATGAGCCACACTTTCTTTGAGCGGTTAGTCTTGAAAGGCCAGAATAACCACAGCTGGCATGACACAGCACTATAAATGGTCATGAAAAATGAATGTATCTTAGCACCCTAGGGTGTCCAAGTAGCTGTGGGACGGTGGTATGCCTGACAATAGCAACTGGAGAAGGATAAAAGCTGCATGAGTAGCGCTCACAGGGGTTTGTGGCTCAACGAGGAAACACAGCAATGCCAGAAGTCATAAAAACACACTTATGTTAACAAGTTTCTTTCTTACCAAAAGTCCTAGGGCCCTGACATCACAGCCCACGCTTAAATGAATGCAAAAAATAACCTCAGTAACATGTGCTTGTCAGGTTTTTGGGAGCTACAGTTCATAAATGATTTTATGGACAGAGATGTCTAAGGGGAAATCTTCCAGACCCTCGTCATGACATGTGCAACAAGGCTGTGGACAGTCAAGCCACGTTCCAGCTCCTTCCCACTGCCACACACTGCTGCTCCATTGCTTGACTGGTTCGTTTGAACTACAGGACACGATCACTTATGAAAACTTTTTGTGGTAGACAACTGTGTATTCCCTGCAGGTCTTGCAGCTGGTTTCATGTGTGTTGATCTTGGATTATGGATCTTTCCCAGATGGCAATGACTTCCTATCCTGACACACCTAACCCACCTTCTAAAAAAAATAATCCATTATTAGAGCTAATTATGGCCAGTGAAAGTAGTCGTTAAACAGCAATTTTAGCCACAATCAAATGATTGGGGATGTAAGCCCTGAGAACCTTAAACCTCAAACTTGATGAGAGTGCACTGAAAAGAAGGAAAATAAATGCTACCTAACAAGTGAACTGTTGACATTAAACGCACACGTGGGGCTCCGTGATGCAGGGGAATTCATGAGTAAATCAGAATCGATGTGATTTCTGATGTTTCTGTAGACAATCTCAACCACACTACAAATAGCCTGCAGGAGCTCACAGCCCCACAGTGCTACAGTATGTTCATAGGACGAGCCTTCAGTGATGTACAGTACGTCTGACCAGTTAACTTTCATAGACTAGACAGTTGGCAAAAGTGATGAGCACATTCTCATAGCTGCTGACCAATCAGTAACCAAATGCCATTGTAATATATTCCCCCTTTCCTGGGCAAGACATCTAGAGCTCTACCACACTTAAAAACTACCTTACAGCTACAGCAGCTGATTGAGGTAATTTGCAAATCCAATACAGGTGACTAGAAAATACTGTGTGGGTTGTGTCGGCGTTCCTGACATTTTCACTGAAATTTGCTCAGACGAAGTTTAATTTTTTTTTTATGTATGCAAGATACATTTTAGTTATTCCGATGGGCAAAAATGTTGTGGAACATGAATATATTTACAATTAGTGAAGGTCAATAATAGAAAATGTTAAAAAAACTTTAATGTACAACACATGTATTAGAAGAACGGATGTTAAGTTTAAGCTTTAGGTCACACGGATACAAATTTCAGTAGGAGCGAGCTACCCTTTCTTGTTGTCAACAGAGCACTATCACTGAAGGATTACATACTCTTAATACAAAGGCAGACTTTCTGGAGCCAGATCTGTCTTTTCCTCTGAGATAAGATCAGCAAAAAACACATGACTATTTTTAAAACATTTTTTTAAAGTGACAAAGTGACTACTAACTAACTATCCAAGAGTTTCCAGAGCAACAGAGCCATTGGACTTCAGCTGATTCACCAGACACAGGCTCTTATACATTTATAATCATATACGATAGAATTATCGATAGATAGAGTTGTTACCTGGGCAAGGCCTACAACACTGGGGCCTAAATCACAGAATTGCATACAAAATTACAACAAAGAAACTGATATTAGAAAGCGATTAACTGTCTCTCCAATTAAAAAGAGATACTTGGAAAAAAAACAATCAGGCAAAAGAAGTTAAACACTGACAAATGTACTCAAGGCAACCAAAAAGATAATAAATATCTCCAGAATTTGTTGTATTTAATATCAGAAAACACCAGCAGATATTGATAGATAATCTTGCCTCATAAACAATAAATTCACATAGTTGACATTCAGGAAAGGGCAATTATTTAAGCTAAAACATGGTTATTAAACAGATAGTACAGATAAGATGTAAATACTCAAACTGGGGTGGTGTAATTAGTGGAGTACCACAGGGGTCTGTACTAGGACCCACGCTCTTCATTATTTTTATCAACAATCTTGAATCCAGATTAGTTAATAAACTGGTCAGGTTTGCAGATACTGAATTAGAAGTATTGGCAAAGACTATTGAAATAGCAAATTAAATTAAAAAATTTAAAAAGATTTAGATAAAAGCTGGCAGTGCAGGACCATTGTACGCAGGTAATAAAAACATGGATACAACTTTGAAATAAATACAAATTTGAAAGAAAAAAAACAATCGAGAAGAAAAGGAGGTGTTTGACGTGTTCAAACTTCTAAACAATGTGGAGTGCACCTTAAATGGCAACTAAAAGCTATGATATATAATACAAAATATGCTTCTATTAAAATCAAGAGATGTTATGTTTGAAATTGTGCAATGCACTAAAAAGGACTCATTCAGAATACTGCGTACAGTTTTGGCCACCACATTATAGAAAAAATATTGTTGTTCTGGAACCAGTCCAGAAAAGAACATCCAGATACAGTCTGGGACGTCAAGCAAAGTCCTACACCGTCATGTTGAAACTGAAGCTTTCTGGTCTACGAGTGGACCTGATACAAACGTTAAAAATCCTCAAAGCCCCTGACAAAATCAACAGAGATACATGAACCAGAGCATGTCAGTGGAAACTAGATGGAAGTGGAGTTATAAAGGAAAGCAGGAGGCTCTTCTTTACTAAAAGGGCTGTCGAAGTAATGGAACAAGCTGCTCAGCTCTGCGGTTGAAGCCGATATCCTGGCTACTTTCAAGAGACAGCTGAATGAGATCTTCTGATCAATTAGCTACTAATTTCCAAAACAGGCCAGATGGGTCGAATGGTCACCTCTTGTTTCTAATCTTACTTATATTCTTACTGTATGTAAAAATTCAAAGATACCCCCTTCCTGCATAATTTAGCGGCACCTTACTTTTCTTTGAGGAATGTTAATGCCTGTATGGGAATGGTAAGTAAATTGGTGTCTATTGGGGATCTACTGAATAACAGCACCTAGACATGTAATTTTTTCCAGTATTTATACACTCCTGTAGTACCCCTGATCTTAATCCCTCACCACTGTATCCCATGGACACAATGTACCCGCTTCAACTTCCCACCACCTGGACATTTTGTATTGTTTGACATTTGTAATGAAAAGGACCAATTTCCTCAACATGCTATAATTGGCGAGGTGTTATTTTAAAGCTACTGTTCTATTGATTCTGGTAGAGAGAGAGTAGAGAACTATAACAAGAGAAAAGTCTTTGATGCTTAATTTTACTGAGGCCAATGTCCTCTATATGCGAACACCTACCCCTGCTCTCTAGTTCTGACTGGCCCAACTGATAAAATGCAGCATTTTAATTCTCAGTACTTTGTGAAGAACGATCTAGTTACTGAACTGCGATTCAAAATATGATTAAATATTCCCTAGCACTTGAATTTAAAATGCTTAGGTGTCTCACCCCTAAAAGACATAGAATCACTTTCTTTTTAACAGTGCATCATTCACAGTGAGAAGTCTGGCACAAAACCAGAAGCATCACAAGCTTTTCACCACTGAAAACCATCCACCGTCCACATCACCAAGATGAGATGCAATGGAAAATCGAATGACCTGATGTGTAGGGTTTAAAATGTTTACGGTGCAAGAAGCTGAACAGACATGTTGGCAACAATGTTCTTTATTCAGTGACTTGAATTGGATTTTCACCAAGGCACTGGGTTGACCACTCCACCTCCTCGGAAAAATGTTGCAGGATCTTAAATGATCTGAGGCAGCAAGAGTCTCATCTGACAGATGACCGTGTAAGATCAGCCTCTCAGTCAAGAGTTGCCTTGATTTCAAATAGGAAGTGGGCGGGCTTTCACAGAAGAGGAAGAGGACCTGAAATCAGAGATCTGGTGCACTGGGTTGTGTGATCTGCTCGATCATTCGCTCCTTTCCAGGTTTTCCCCATTCAGCCCCCTAAGGAAACGTTAGTCCTGTAACTGGATGCTCCTACACCAGACTGCGCCCTGTCAGGGAGCCCGCATACTGGCTGGCCATTTCTGGCCCAGACTGCGGAGTACCACCCACCGGCCCACCAAGAAGCAGAAGTACAGCAAAAGATAGAAAACATGCAGTGAGAGTATCTCTAGAAATAGTGATTATTCAAAATTCAAAATGGATTAGCTGGGACCAACACCACAAATTTCTGAATGTGTATACAGTACATATTTAGATATAATGGGTGTAATTAAAAGACGAGCTGAAAAGGGATTAAAAAAAAGCAAACTAATGGGTTGTCAATGTAACACAATATTGCACGCAGCCACACAACCTGCTCATTTTACTTTGAGCGGTTTGATCACTTTCATCACCATGGATTTGAATTATGTGCGAAGCAACAATTTTCCAACTGGTCTAAACCACCGCAGGCTATGGGATTCTTAAGGAGAATCAGCAGCTCCTGCCCTCGAGGAGTGTGTATATTTCATAGAAACCACATTCATCCCGCGGGTTAGACCTTACTAAGGCATACATGTACTGTACACATGCACTGGCACACAGGCATAGTCACATGCACTCACATATGTACAGTATAAACAGCCTTTATGTACTGAATGAGGAGAGATCAATGAACCCAGCTACAGTATGTAGACGGGAGAGACCCTCAGTCGCTTAAAATGGTTCTTTCTGATGTACCTCGCTGCTACAATAAAAACGCTGGGAGGACAGTAGCGCGTGTGATCTAAAAGGCAGTGGACGGGACGGCAGGCAGAGATCCGGGGGGTGATGTCTTGTGTCCTGGCCATGCATGCTGTCAGCCATTGCCAGCCACGTGTCCTCCCTGCCAGCGCAGGCCATGTTGATCACATGTTGTATTGATTTACAGATTAACACCCAAACAACCGAAAAGGACATCAGGGTGTTTATTACTCTCAAATATATATTTTTGTATTTAAATCCATCACATTTGTTTCAGAAATGGACGTCAACTACACTGGAGTAGAATGGTTAGTGTAAAAATTAGAAACCTAAATTACATCTGACTTTATTCCAGACAAGCAATATATGCAGATTAAGCAAGGGCAATTTAGCTCAAACTGCCACGGTCATTTTCCTACCATTATACAGAGATGAAGTAAGACATTTCATTATTATTTAGACTGAAACGTCAGCACAGAAGTTGCTGAAATTACCTCTGAATTTTACTTGAGTTAGTGGAGTCATTATTTCAAACATTTTAGTCTGAATCAATATCTGTAATGATTCATTCTTTTGATTAAGAAGTGACTCCATCTGTAGGTGTCAGATAATTACCGAGATGACCTATAATGAGAATATTTCACAAGTCTCCGACTTCACTTTCCTATTCCCTCAACAGTATAATGACTTCCCCTTCGTGCTTTTTATAGTGGTCTTATGCACTTGGGGTTTGGTTCTGTGATCAGTCACTATCACTGCACAGTTCTATCATTTTCTGTAGACAAAGGCTTATTGTGACGTGGAATGAAAATTGTTACATCAAAATTTAGGCCATTCCAGAGATTCAGTGTAATTAATTCCTTTTGTGCAAGCCGTTACACAACTGCTGGTATACAAATTTCTGAAGCTCCGGATTTATTTTTAAATGAATATATTCAATGGTCAGGGCTTTCAAAACCAGGGAAAGACCACAGTGAATTTTACATAGTTCTTCATGATAATTTCTAGATGCCAGAGCCCCACAGAGTAGGTAAATTATATACTTTGGTAAGTTAGGTTTCAAGAAAAATGAGGCATTAATTATGATATTCTTCAGGCAAAATAGAACTTAGACAATGAGTGTGTCAGAGACCTCAGAATCAAATATCACTTTAAGCTAATGTGGCAGAGTCTGTTGGCGCATGTAGCAGCTCAGAGATTTGTTAACATTTACATTGCAAACTGCCAGCAGAAGTACAAGGGTCCCTATTGAACTGACGAATAGAGAAGAATGTGACCCATCAGATGCAGCACTTGGTTGGAAACTTCAAGTTTTCAGTACAAAGTATCTCTTCCAATTTCTGTCAAATATTAATATGCTAATGTCTCCAGAAAAAACTCATTGCTTTATTTTCTTTAACCCACAGCCTTAAGAAAAAATATATATTTTTGCTTTTTTTAGCTGAAAGAAAATAAGACCTTGAGTATCTGTGGCATGTGTAATAAGTTTAAAGGCCACAGCAGAGCTGGAAAATCTCTGGACATTACCTGTTGGTTAAGATGGCGAATAGACTCCATGTTTGCCTTTAGCCTGGCCTGCATGTCTTCAAGAGCGGATAATTTCTGTGTCATGACACTCTCCTTTTGTTCCCTTTAAACAAAGAAAGACAGTTTTTTTCAAGACTAAATTGGGTGGTTCTACTATCTATGAACACCTTTTAGGACAAAGAAAATCTGCCAGTTGTGACATTTGACTGTTGCTGTTGGATACACGGAGAGCAGAAGACATCAGAGCATACATTTGATCCAAAACAGTAATACTCAACACCTTGTCTTTATAATTGCAAGTTTGTTTCAAAGCTTTGTGCTAATGGAAACTCCAAGCCTGCAGTTCAAGACGCTAGGTAGGTTAACCTCACTTAAACCTGGTGTGAGGGGAACCCCTGGGGCCACCGCTCCTCAGTTGGTACACAGCTCAGTCCTGTCTTCCTTAGAGAGCTTGTGTCCCTGTGCCTGCTGACCCAAGAAGCTGCTGTTAAGCCCCATGCCATCGCTGTGTGTGTGTGTGGGGGGTGTCCCCACTGTGAGGCCAGCAGCTGTTCCAAAGCACACTGCTGCTTTCATACATCCCTTCGGATCCCTAGGAAGATTCCTTACCTTGTGAGTGTGCCTCACGGAGCTGATCCACTGCTGGGACAAAAGGTATGTCCTAAAGAAATGGGAGCATCCAGGATAGAGGCTTCAATTCCATTAGGTATAAGAGACGGTGACACATTGGCCTTGTCCAATGCAAACCCATTGTATTTGAGGTCATAGGCAGTAATTCATTCTGTGCAGGTCTGTGACCTGGGCACAAGGACTGCAGAATCCTAGACCAGATGGCTTGCAGCCATATCACTCTGCAACTCGCAACTGACAACACAGTGAAGCTCAGCAGGTGTGAGCCTGGCCAGTACCTGGATGGGAGACCTCCTGGGAAAAACGAAGGGTGCTGCTTGAAGAGGTGTTAGTGGGGCCAGCACGGGGAGCTCACTCTGCGGTCTGTGTGGGTCCTAATGCCCCAGTATAGTGACAGGGACACTATACTGTAAAAAGGTGCTGTCCTTCGGATAAGATGTAAAACTGATGTTCTGACTCTCTATAGTCAAAAATCTTAGGGTGTTTTTTGAAAAGAGTAGGGGTGTTACCCCGGTGTCCTGGCCAAATTTCCCCATGGTCTTTACCAATAATGGCTTCCTAATAATCCCCATCTCTGAACAGGCTTTATCGCTCTGCTCCCCACCAGTACACTCCCCACTGAGAGCTGGTGTGTGGGGAGCGTAGTGGTGCACTATGGCTGCCGGCGCATCATTTACCACTGGTGGTGGTGGAGGGGATCCCCATTACCTGTAAATCGCTTTGAGTGGAGTCTCCAGAAAAAGCACTATAGAAGTGTGAGCAATGATTATTAATTATTAGACAGATAAGCAACCAGCACTGTAGTGAAGCTGTGCCATGGGTAGCTTCTTAAGGCAGGATTTCATACTGTGACACTCCCAGGTTAAGAAGGACATGAAGGCGTGACTGGCACCAGAGGCTGGGGGGAACTGGTCAGGCCACATGGCACTTGTGTCACACAGGGCTAAAGGCGGGACCACCTGGCCGTGGGTTGCAGGCCCTGAGGCTGAGTGGATCCAGGAGGATCTGACTCCCCACCAGAAAGCACACGGCCGACGCAGGAGGCCCCCTGGAACAGGAAGTGCTCTGTGTGTCAACAGGAAGTGCTCTGTGGGTGAACAAGTAGGGCTCTGGAGGCCAGGCACTGTCCTGAGACCCCACCTCTGAATTGGGGGGAAGACACGTGTGCTCCTCACACTCCCTTCTTCTGGAAGGGGGGCAGCACCAGAAGACACAGACATCAGCTAAAGATCCAGCTGCCAGCACTTGCAGCGGAGACTGAGAGCGACTCATTGGCAACACATCCAGTGCAGGTCCTCCTGTTCAGGACTGCCGTGCTCACTTTGCAGCTCTGGATTCTGGATTTACAAAGAGGCTCTAGGAGGATTTACAAGGCTGATTGATGTGACAATTTTGTTGGGTCCGTTCAGTGTCCTGGTTTTGCAGGACTGTCTGATGTTTGTCTTCTGTGCTACTGTTAATAAAAGCCTGGTGCTCACAAGGTGAGTTTTGGACAGTAAAACACATGGGTGTAAGACCTTATCTAGCATTGGACTTCTCATGTCTTCAAAAACAAGGATTCATCACATAAAAAAAAAAGTCCAGGGGAATACAAGTGCAGTGTGTAAAATCTTCTAATTTAGGATGTTTTGTAGGTGCTTTGGTATGATACATGTCTAAAAAGATAGAAATACCTGTTTAATTAATGAAAAAAGTAGTAAGTGATATCCTCATATCCTACAGAATTCCAACTAGGCTCTGTTTCTGTTCCAAATAAAACAACTTGTCCAGTTAGAACACTATCGCTCATTGTTACAAATGTGCACTTGTTTTTTATGTGCTACATTATCAGTCTTTAAACAAATGGTATTAAACAACTTTTTTTTTGTTAATTTTCATGCTAAGAGAAACTTGAGCTTTTGCTAAAGCACTGGACACAAAGATGTCAGTCAAGCTTGAAGAAATACATTCCTTATGAGCCCCTAATGAACTCCTTTTCCCGACACAAACTTTCTTCCCTATTAGCAATATGTTGTAACAAAGAGAGGCAAGACTGCATGTGCCCATTATGAAGATTTAAAAACAACAAAGAAAATTCGATGACAAGTAATTTTGTAATGCATTATGTCCCATTGTGTCTCATTATATTGTTTTATATCAATAAATATCAAAACTCCTGTCAGGAAAAAGATCTTTCCTAATCACGCAAGTGAACATTAACAATGCCACTAGTTCTATAAAGTTCAATAACGAGGCTCCATTGTTCTTATTGATATATATAAGATACTCTACAGACAGCAGATAAAATTCAATTAGAGGAATTGATATACACATACAATACATTTATACATATTCCTCCTGTAGCGAAGAAAAGATTTAATCAGAATTTAACAGACGTTAAATGAAGTCCAAACTTCTGTCAACCAAACATCCAATATTTGCAAGGTTCTAGCCAGAGACTTTCTCAATAATATGAAGTTTCATCTAATAAAACATTAATTGTACAGATTCTGCTTTCAAACATGTCTTGCCCTGGAAAAGAATCAGCAAACACAAATCCTAATGGGAATTAAAGCTGTAACTTTTGCTCGATTTACTAAGATAGCAAAATACCTAAGGAGCCAAACTATTTTTTCTGGTTTCTTTTTCATGCCAAACCTTATTAAGCAAGTTTTGTGAACTAAGAAACCCCCAAAGTCTGTCATTTCCAATGTAATTTTAATTGAAAACATTTCATTTCACGGAGAGCAAGAAAATAACTTTGGGGAAAAAATGAAGAACAGAAGTAAATGGAGGAGTTTTTTTTTCACTTTTATTAATTTGGAAACAAACCAATAAAAATGCAAAAAAGCACTAACCCATAAGAAAATGAGGGGGAGGTCACACAAAAAAGGGACAAGGGAGCTAATTAAACAAATTCTGGAGACAAAAGCAGCTTTTTCACTAATAAATGTAACCTAGTCGTACTTCCTGGAAATGGGGGTGTACACAGAAATAATTAACTACACGTGTATGTGCTAGTGCATGTTGGCACAATCTAAATTTCACTGCAGTCCAACAATTAGACCTAACTTTTATAGACTGTGCTTTATGGTTTCATCTTAAGCTGATTAATTAAAATGCACTGTACATCTGGTACACTTTGACTCTGATTCTTACCATCAAAAAAAGGAATTTAATTATGTTTAAATTTGAGACACTTTTTACCCTCAGACCTACCTACAGCACTTTAATTTTGTTTAAGGTTGAGATATTAATAAACTCAAATAAATAACTGGGTTGCATAATAAAATATTGTGTATGTTATTTGTAACAGTGCTTTATTAAAGTCTAACCAAGGAGCGAAATAGACGTGTTTTAAATAGAAATGTTATCACAATAATTGAGTTGCAAGTTTTTGGCTGAAATATGACTCCCAAGACTCCAGACTGAGAAACCCTCTGAACCACAAACAGGACCAACAGACCTCACTGGGAATCTGAAAAACAATTGTCAAATTGTCCAGGCTTTGAGAGCATGCACATGAGTCTTGAAACCACAGCATTTCAAGACTCATGACATTGAACCTACATAAGTATTGCAAATCACCAGGCCTAAATATTACAGAGTGTGCGTGAGTGGAAATGCCCAAGCCTACAACATTCGCAGGTTTTCAAGGTAGCCATGCTGTCCTCTAGACTGTGCTGTCCTGGTCCTGCAGCCCCACACCGGTGGGTTCGTGTTCCAGCCCACAGCTCTCGGTTGCACAATCGAACCCTCGGCTGACTTCATAACACGATAAACATGACGACAAACTATCACAACCAATGGGAACAATAAAATCCCAAACTGGAGGGAAAACACAAAACTTATTTTGTGTACATATTCCAAACGAGCAAATCGTTAGTTCAATTAAGGCTTTAATTGGGTAATTAAGCTCAACCGGAATGAAAACCTGCAGATGTGTGAGGGCTGGGAACCCCTAAATTAGACCCATGCCAACTGCTCAATATAAACCACAAAGCAGTAGTGAGATCCAGCAACTTCACCAAACCAACCTGGAGGACGACAGAGCAACTGCACTTGCAGCTAGGATGGTTTCTGGTATGTTGCAAAGCTGAGAATCAGCAATTATTGATAAACCCCTGTCTTGGGAGATAGAGAACACAAACAAAATATGCTGCATGGAGGAGTAAAACCAGTCAAACAAACATCAGCAGCTGAAAGTCATTGCCAGAAACTTTCGAAAAAGGATGCCTGTGCTGCCTTCCTAAAATAGATGGTGACTTAAACTCTGTATAATTGCAATCACAGTCTGTCCATCACAGAAATAGTCTAAAAGGGAAAACATCTTCTCTGCTTTTGGTGTTGCGCTGGAACTCCAATCTGAAAATGTGCTGAAGAACAGAGGAACAAACCTGCTGAGATTAATCACTGTGGCAGAACGACATGACAACCGCTGCAAGAGGAGCTCTCTGGAATCGCTACTCGTCAGCAGGAAAGAAGTCACAAACGCTGTGCTACCCTCCCAAAAGAGAGGGCCAAACCTGGCCAGGCCTCTCAGAAATTACGTAGATAGCAGAGTTATTTTACTATTCAGCCATTAATTTCCAACAATGGCCGCGTGGGTCAATTGGTCTGAAGCTAGCTTTTTTAAATTTCAGAACCTCAGTTTCACAGACATCGTTACAAAAGGGCTACAGCTCAGGAATATATTTCACTCTCTCATGTTTGTATCTTCATGTAAACAATGATGAACAGATTCTGACCAGAGACCAGTTGGAAACTGACAGCTGAAAGCATCAAGAAAATTTATAACAGCTGACATGAGAGGAAATTAAAGCATAGTAAAAGCTATTTGTTTTTGCATGTAAATGGAACCACTGTTTTCCCTCTAAATATGATCTATTCTGACTGTGTGTTGATAAGAACATACCCTTCTCCCAAAAGGAAATTGTTCATCATAGTGTTCTTGTGATCTTCAAATATAACTATCCATCCATTTTCTAGCTGTTTTATGCTTTACTGAGTCAGGGGGCAGCTGGAGCTTAACTCTGCAAGCAACGGGCACAAGGCAGGTCTCTGGACAAGACATATTTTACATATTTTAATATACTACATTATTTTAATAATGCACACACAGCAACAAAAGAATACACCTTTACCTATACTAAAGTTTAAAATCTAGAAGAGCCCTTTACAGCTTTATGGATGTCAATCATGGCTCAGACCTGCAGGCCCTGCGACAGCGCACGGGAGAAGAAGGAAGTGCAGCTAGACTCCACTGACCCTCCCCCCTTGTAGGCTCACCCCCTTTTGTCATGTGACATTCAACACATCCCCTGATAGGAGGATGACATCCCTGGTTGTAGTGTAGCTCAGGATGCCCTACCGACACTTTTTTTGTTTAAAGGTCTGTTCCACAAAGTTCTAGAGCTGCTGCATTTTGCATATGTGCAACAAATTTAGGAAAATTGTAGAATTTTGGAACAAAAACAACAACCAAATAAAGTTCACTACATATCCAAAGAAATATGATGGAGACATAGGCTGGAGCTTCTGTAGCAGGATTCATAGATTCATTTGTATCCACTTTAGCATTGTTCAATGTTACTTTCTCATTCCTCATGTTAATCATTTGCACTGTGTCCTGAGTCTTCAGGGAAACATGTGCTTGGATTGAGAATTGGTTAACAGAAAACAGAGTAGAGATAACGGGTGAATGTTCAGATTGTCATGCTAATCACTGGTACTGTGCTTCACTGTATAAACTGCAGCTGTTCTGTGATAATGCTGGATGCGGTTATTTTGGCTTTACACAGTAAACCACTGCAGTACCACAACACAAACGCCCTCCCTATCTGTCGCCCGGGGAGGGGAGTATGATTGACAAACATCTCCAGAACTATCCATAAACAGAAAGCAGCTGACTAAAGAGAAACTCCATGTAATACATTTCTGAAATTTCTTCTTGGAAAGAATGTAAACATGCTCTGAAATCAAGCTACTTCCTATCAAAAATAATAATGACATAAAAAATGTTAGTGTACTGTATATGTAGATTAAAAACAAATACATGTAATATAAAAAGACCACATATTTTATATTCCATTCTTTAATTTTCTTTTCTCAATACTTTTATTAAATCTACGCAGTGGTATAGATATGCTTTTCCCAATTATTAAAAATACAAAAGTCATTCATCTTACTGTCTTCCTTTAAATACTATCATTAAAATGATTGACAACTTTAAACTTTATCTGTAGCCAATGGAAGACAAAACAAATTAACTCGCTGTGACAAAGAAACAGTATTTCATTAGGAACATATTAAAGCTCTGACAAGCACCGGAAAACCCACCAGGAAAATGGGCCGGTGAGGGTCAGGATTCACGGGCAGGTGGAAAGTGAGAGATGGAGATCATTTGCATTTGGTCTTTAGTGCTTTCTTCTCTGAACATAATATAAAAAAATATCATAAATTAGAAATCACTCTTGATAGCCACTGGCTTAGCATATCAGTTTATAGTTTAATTATTTCACAAGTCAAATCCTCCATTATTAATTCATAATGAGGTAATGTCCTACTCACAATAGCTTTCTCTTTCATTTTTGCTGTTGAAAGCACTTTTTGCATTTTTTTTTTTTACCGTGGACATTCCCTCTACTAGAATTGTGTAAGTAGAATTCCCGACATTTTCTAGCAGAAAACACAAGCCTGTTGTGAGGAACAGGAATACATACTTTGCTAGGAGATGAAGATTTAACCATGATGGTGGACCTTTAGGTCTCAGACACACACGGTCACGCTTATGGAGCATGGAGAGCTCAGTACAGGGCTCCACCAGGTGGCCAGTGCCCTCCTGGCCTTGGGCTTGGCCCCCAGTACAGCTAGTGGGAGAGTGGGCACAGAGAGCCAGCTGACAGGGGTTAGGTCTGTATTCAGTGCTGCTTGCAAGGCAGAGAAGAAAATTACACCTCCTCATTCTTGTGTAACATTTGCAAAGAAAAACACGGTTTATTTCCAGTGAATGACGCTAAACGTGACATATATGATACCAACAAACAGCAGATTAAAAACAAAAACAAAAAAGTAGAATAAAAAAGCTCAATTTATTTTGCTGTCAGTAACTGAAATACAAAGGTGGGTGTCAGCCACCTGGTTGCTTCAATCAAACAAAATGCAACAGCCTTCTCAGATCACAAGACCTCTGTATTACACACACTACTAGTCACTGTAATGTGCAGTGCAGTAACCAGGTAACCACCACATTGTAGTCACCGAAATTACTGAAAAGGCAGCTCTCCTAGATAATCTACCAACCCCTGTTCTTAGACATAGGCCAGGCCTTTCTATATTAAAATCAGCTTCAGTGGAAGAAATAATCAGTCTTTCTTTTGGTCTTTCAGTATAGTGTATCCATTTACCAAATTGCATCTGATGGAAAATGAACTGTTTGTGTTTATTAAACAATCAGGCATCCATATTTGTTTGAAAACATTGAAACAGAGTATTTTAAAGTATTGTGTGCATAGGTATATATTCTGCTCTTTTTCCTTTCATAGCAAAAAAGTGAATCACGTTGTTATTCAACTAAGTTTGTTCATGCAAGAATAGTATTAAATACTCACTCGTCCACCTCCAAACGACCTCTGTGCTGATTAAGAAGTACTTGCTGATTAGCAGAGTGACTCTGGATCGTCTGACAGGGGAGAAAATAGAAGTTCATTAACTCTCAGTACATTAACTGTGATGGAGTACATTACAAACCTCATGAATCCTCTTGGCCAATCGAGTTCTGAGAAGAGCAGTCATTACACCATAATAGATGACCATGCAGAAAAGAAGTATGAATCTGTCTCTTTAAATCCAGTCTGATTTCCAGGATTTTTACTGTATGTTAAAGAAAAGTGTGATTAACTCTTCAAGTCCCACTTATGCTAGGTTTATTTTTTTAATTGGAATTAAAATTTTGTAACATGTCTTTCTTTGCTTTTCATTAGGAGATTAAATTACTTTATACATTACAATACAGTGCCAATTTATTGCCAATTAATTGGTTGGCTCTAGTGCCAATATACACTTCTTTACCAAACTCTAAATAGCGAAAAAGCCAAACCTTTAGTTTCAGAAGTATCTGTATTATTTTCTTCATTTCATAAAGAAGTCGGAAATGAATGCCTTATTACTGATCCAGGTGAAATTGCAATAGTACTTGAATATCTAACCCTAACCCACTTCCTCAAAACAATTCTCATGTTGGTCCTCATATCCTTCAAAGTCTGCTGCATTAAGTGGATCGAATCTCAGTAATCGTTTTTTGTAATACACTGACTTTAGTATGTATTTCTTCTTCAGGTGTTAGCGTTTCTGAAAGAATCTTTTTTTTCCCAATCTGACATCATGCATCATTGCTCATATACAAATTTGTCATTGAATGTCTCTGTCAAACTCTTAGTCTCTCACATAAATGCACCCTCACAATAAATCCCCAGTGCATGCATGTATTTAATTTCACAACTTGTGCAACACATTCACCTTTTTAAAATAATCTTTCAATTATTTAATGTTTACCTTCACACGTTCAATTTCAATGTCCTTTTCTTCTAGGTCTGCTTTCAGTCTCTTAATTTCTCTTTCCATTGCATAATTTGAGTCTTGCAAATATCTGAAAAATACATAGATCAAACAATGAGGCCCTATTTTGCAGTTTGTGGAATGTGATTTTTACTGAATTGTTACAAATATCCTCAAAAGCCTTTGGGAAATATTACTTATTGTTTTTGTGATGTCCAGTGTCAATGTTTTTTTTGTTTACAATTTTAGCAATATTTCATTCTTAGAAATTTCAATAAAAAGTACTGCAGAAAATGTTGTAACACCAGTACTGTACTGTATCACTGTCTTTCATTTCTTCATCAAAACCTGGCACTTGAGCAAAAGGATAGCACAGAAGAGCATTAAATGAGTATAGCATTTAAAAATATACATTTTTCCAAATGAGTTTGTAATGCATTTTAATGATTTATAATGCATTTTATTGAGTGTTGCAGAAAATAAATTAGGAAGTGCCTCATACTGCCACAGTTGCTTAAACACAGACAGTTAAAACACACCTGCCAAGATATCTGTGCAATCAAACTAAAGTTAACATCCATTTTGATGAATCGGGCTAGGAAGAAAATAAGTCTCCAATGGCACTTAATAAGGAGGTGACAATTTTTGCAGGTGCTTTAAATAAAGTTAATTAATACTACTGAAATCTTAAGATGGTAGACATCATTTTTAGTGACCAAATGAAACACTACCACTGTGAATACCTCTCCAGGCCAGATGAAGAAACCATTAGGTTAATGAATATGAGCCTCATATCTGCGTTTCTACTAATACTGGATGTTTGATGATTCCTTACCAGTTTAGCAAATAGCTAATTCAAAAATCCATGCAATATGATTTAAAAGAAATGTGAAAAAACGAAAGAAATGTTAAAGCCATACCGTTATTTATCATATACTAGGAAATATTATTAAATATATCACATTTGCACAAGCTTAAGAACACAGTACCTCACCTAAACTATAGTATGTTATACCATATCTAGATCTTAGTAGTCTTCCCAGCCTCTTTAGCACACTAATAAAATGAAATTACCATACGAGGAGAAAAAACACAATACACAAAACTCATGATGTCTGAACAAAACAGCCCTGATGTTAACTAAAAATGCAAAATGACCCTACTGTATGTGCAATGTAAATCAGTACTTTGTAATTTGTAAATAAGAGTAAAAATGAAGTGCTTGAATAATTTAGAGATGAATTATTGTACAGAATAATATTAGTATTCTCCCTGTATTCTCCTATGGTACAGAATTAGTATTCTGAAGAAACAGTGAACTGTCCCACAATAAAATTCTAATAAACACGTACTGTATGTGATAACATTACAGATCTGGCATTACATTTGAAAACAACAATAAATGTAAGGACAGAACACACAGTAGCTTTCATGAGGTTATGTCATGAACTGTACTTCCTAATCACAAACAAAGTAAATAAAGCTTCACAGAATAAAATGGTATTTGTCTTTCAATATACTGCTGTATGGGTTAAACTTGTCTAAACCAATCTCTCGAAATCAATCATGAATCAAAAACACTATTGAAGACATCTTTTTCAAAGGAACCTACATTCAAATTCATTACAAGCACATACAAGATTTTAAGGGCACATTAGTTCTTCTAATGCCAATACACATGAGCTTTCTGCTGTGATAAGGCATACTTGTAGCAAATTACCAATTAGTTGCTAAATTTTTACAAATAACATTCCTGTCCATGATGCAAAGGTTTGATACAAGCACACAAAAACCTTTTTTTACAGCATTTGAAATGACAGCCCATCTGCAATGTGCACCATTAATGAAAACAGTGCACACGGTGGAACTCTGCTTGTTCTTCAAAAATTCTTGACTCCATGAACTCCTGACACTTTTAATAAAACATCAATACTGCCAAATGCATTTGTGTATTATCTGAATCAGAATCATCAAATCGAAAACAATGACAAGCTCAGCATGACTGCAGATCATTTCCTCATTTGGAAATGCGCAGGAAGCACAGGGACACATTGCCTGACAGAGATGCTCTGGAGACATCTTTGATCACTGTGTGTGATGCATGGAATATGTCACAGCTGTATAATAACACATATAAGCCATCAGGTGCACTTGTCATTTGCCCCTGTTGAATCAGAATGTTGAATTCCAGATTTCCTTACTGTTTGATTATAAAGTATTACTTCTCAGAATAAATATGACCTACTTAGTAGGCCCAGTTATTAGCATAGTGCCATTTTATTTAAAAAGGAAAATACAAGTCATTTTATAAACAACTCAAGCTAAAATGATCTGTCTTAACTTTCATGTGAACAATCAGAGTGTTTCATTTATAGTTAGAGCTGCTGAATGTTTAACACTGTTCTACAACCCTGCTATTGTACTAAAAGACAAGCTGGCTGCTTCACATTTTAGCTGCTGGTTTGACTTTTACCATAAATTGAAAGTGCTGTGTCACTTAAGGCCTTGGTTTTAACAAGCTCTGGTAACAAGTTCAAAAAGTATAAAGTCTGAAAACAAGACATGCAGGGAACTCAAATGTTGATTTCATTGTTAAACTAGTAACTATTTAGGCCTGAGTTTGCAGCAATTACTGTATATTCTTCCAGTTTTAAAAAGAACTCGTAGTTTCTTTCTCCTAACAAAAGGCTGGACAGTTGCAGGCCTATTCATACCACCAACTTATTACACTTTAAAGAATACAGACACGGGACAGTTTCTAAAATAATATACTTGAACATCTCTGCAGTCCAGTCTCTATTATCTTTTCTGCATCTTTATGAAACTTCATTTCTGTCATTTAGGATGCTCTGTATTATTAATATTTTACTGAATTTATCAACTAACAAATTAACCCTGAGACTAATTTCTGAAAGGTGCATACTGTACACACGGACATTTCAATTTGTAGTGTTTGCATGAAGGAAAATGTACATTTGTGAATTCACATTTTAGAACTGCTGAGCACATTTATATGCATATTGGCCAATGTAAAGGGAGAGTAACCATTTGAAATAAAATCATGTTTTGTTTAAAGCTCCAACAGCATTTAAGCTTCTCACCCCTCCAGGACACCCGGAGCCTCTGTTAGAGACGTGCAGGTCTGTGGATCTCGAACAGCGCTCCGGGAGTCCTGCACGCAGACAGTTCCCTGAACGGGCAGGCCCACGTCTACAAAGGATCCGAGGGCGTCACGGCTGCCTGCTGGGCAGCCATGTTAAAACGCATGGTTAAACGATTCAGGATCCCGTCACAGGATGTCACAACCGACGCCAGGGGTTCTGCGGGAACAGGTCTGATGATTACGCTGCCGCTGCTCTGTTGAACAGCTGCATGATTATAGGCTGCAGTAAACCCTCCTGTGCCGGCCAGCCCACAGCTTCACGCCCGTGCGGCCCGGTCTTCGCCCAGGGCTACAGGTCCTGATCTCTGATGACCACTAAGCTTGCCCTTCCCCGACGAAGCCCTGCCGGTACTCCCAGGGCATTCTGCACAGCAGGTCCCTCACCCCGCTGGGCAGCAGTGCTAATCCCACCAAAGGCATTCTGCTTACATGAATCTTCCCATACACCACATGGCAAGAAGCACAAAGGGAGTGGGCTAATGTATCAATGCAGCTTAGAGGATATTCCCCCCCTGGAAGGTTATTTAAATGTTTTTGGGACATTCATCACGCTGAAGCTTCAAGGGGTGGAGCCACACCCTTCTAAAGGAAGCAGAATTAACCTGTTAACCAGGAAAAAGAAACCAGAATTAACCATATTACTGAGCGTACTAGGTACAGCTAGATTATGTCACAGACGCTTGTCTTGATTTTCACTTGACGAGAGAAGGTGATACAGTTGCACTGATGTCTTATACCTTTTTTAAACAGCACAAATACCTTGGGGAATTCTGAATCCTGTACCGTGAAATTTAACTTGTTAGTAAATAAGAACGCGAATAAACAGGGAAAGCAAAATCAGATATGTACTGTATAAATGGTCCTGCTGCAACTGACTGCAGCAAGCTGAGGAGCAGGAGGAATTAAGAAAACGCCCGCCTTTTATAAAGATCGTGCTTGTGCCTTATCAAATGGTGCTTGCATGAAAAAAGACAAGTGCAACTAATTTTCTTCAAAAGGTATATTTCTGGATTTTAATGTTGCTTCCTGCACTTGTAATTTGGGCTGTAATGTGGAATGTTACTCTTTAAAACTCTAACAGGGCAAACGTGATTGTCAGGCTGAGCACACATTCTCGTCTCTGGGGTCTAATTATCTTCTGGGTCTCTGCCAGAGTGATTTTTCCCTGCTCTAAACTGAAGGAAAAGTGGACAATTTCTTGTCTTAAATCAGCTCCAGATAAAGTGATCATGTTTTACATTACTGTGTGTGGGATTTCTTCATCATGCAAAGCGCTGTGAACGGCACCCAGGCACGCCAAGAGAGCTGCAGCGCGGAGACTGCGAGGAGCAGGGCAGAGGACTGGGGAGCAGCAAGAGCACCCCACTGCCTTCGCCCTCCTCCACAGCAGCACCCCTCATGTACAGGACCTCTCGCCCCCGGGACAGTGGAAATGCAAGAAGATCTGGCTCCTCTCACTAATTAGTTCGGAACATGAAAATTTAACCTTCAAATCCGAAATTCCTCCCAAAGCACACAGAAAAACCACAGAGAGATAACTAAGACACAGTATGTTAACATGAAAGTTATATACAGTACAAAAAAACATCTTTTGGCAACCTAAAATAAGCATCACTTTTCCACCATTGCAAAAAAATGAATATGATCATGGATTTTTTTTTTAGGAACACACTTATTTTCCAGGCATACCTTCTGAAGATTTTATGAGCATCTGAAAATACATTTTAGAAAACCTTGGCATCAGTTTTTACTTTTTTTTCCACATTACTCTTTTGCTAATCAGGAACGTTTAATGACAATCATATATTACAGAAATCACACAGTTCCATGCAGCCATTTCACAAACTAGACCTTCCCGGACCCAGGCGTATCTCCCCATGAGCAGTTCCTCCACAGAAGTGGTTCTGTATGTGCAGACTGGAGGGACAGAAGGCACTGTACTGTACATTGGAATACGCAAAGCAGGAATGGGAGTGTGTGCTACATCGCTGTTAAAGCACAGTAAACGTACAAAAGCATATGCAGTAGATGGACATCATCATGCAATCAAAATAATTTTCTATTAGTGCCCAAGCAGACCTGTTAAGACAGATGTTGGAACAATAAAAAAAAAAACTTTTTGAAACAAATTAGATTTTAACCAACTATATAAAAAAGTACAAATCGATGCCAGGCAAGCAAAATCAGCAAAGGATGTTAAAATGGAATAAAGATTTAAGAGGAGTCCTGAAATTTGCTATCTCGGTAAATCTCAGTTAAAGATATATTATGCTTAAAGTTAATAATAATAATTCATCTTTAATCAGAGTTGGGTTACTTTTGAAAGTAATCCTTTACACTTCCAACTTAGTTGTGTAAGGGATTACATTTTCAGTTAATATGGGAAATAATTTTAGGACATCAGCTGCAGTAAGTGTGTTATTTTGGATACTAAAACATCTCTTAAAAGCAATTTCCTCTAAACTCTTATTAATTTCCAAAAAAAAGTATTCCTTTACACAAGTGACTTGTAGCTGACTACTTTTCAAAAGTAATTTTCCCCAACACTAATCAGAAGTTAAAGGCCAGGGATAAATTAGGTTTGCTCAAGTTACCAACTGAAACAAAATCCTGAAACTGGTTCTGTCAGCTCAAATAGCTGTCTAAAAAAGTTGAGCTGAGAGCTCAAGCGTCCTTGTTATTAAATGTATCTCAGAACCTACCGCAAGAATCCTGTCACACTTTCTCTCAAACAACTGTGACTACTATGATGAGTGTGATAAAGCTCATTCTGCTCTAGATATGGATAACTGCTTATTAGCCATAGCCTGCAAATTTCTTTTCCCATTCATATTTAATTAGTAATACTCTTTAATTATACTAATATACTAAAGGGACAACATTTAGACTTTCGAATTCATGTACTACATTCAATTTCCACCAAGAAATAAAGAGATACATTTAAGGTGCAATATTCATCTTTCATTCTAGAAAACGTCTGTCCAGATGAAAAATCAACTGTAACTGTAAGAAGAGGATGTAGCGCTGTATCTAACTTGAGGTACAGAAGGAAGAAGGAGGGATGGTTAAGAAAGTATTGGGCTTTTGAACTCCTTGATGATCTGAAAAGGCAGATAACTGACCAGATTTAAGAGCAAAGCAGCAGAAAAGCAGGGTTACTATACCATGTGCTTACATGTAAACGTACCAGAAATTGTTCTCTTGTTTCTGATCTGGCCAAAAAAAAGAATCCAGGTCTACACAGAACAAGTCACGCTACTAACTGCAACTCTGTCCTATTAATAACAATAATAAGGTAAGCAAATTCTCAGTGCTTGAATTACATATAAACACTGTTGTAGCTTCACACGTAGTCATTCAACACATTCATGCTGAGGGATTACACAAACCAAAAAGAAGAACAAACTGGAACCATAGTAATGTGTGATATTTATTTCAGAATATTAGACACAGCACTAGGACTTTTAAAAATATCTCATCAATCAGGCAAGAGAACTTCATTAGTAAAGCAGGCTGCAGACCGTGAACTTACCATGGGTATCAGAGCAGTTAAAGTTATGTTGAAAGTCCTTTAGAAAGTAAGTTATTTCAGGGCAGAACAGTAGCTTCAAAACCACACACACCAAGAAGCATTCATGTCTTAAAAGGTGTTTACTTACTCTTTTTCTGCACTGACTTTAGCTAGCAGCTTGTTCTGTTCTTTGATCGTTCCAGCCAATTTTTCACTAGCGTTCCTGTTCGGAGCAAACAATGCAATAAGCATTAATAAGGAGAAAGATCTTTGTGAGATTCCATGACACTACTCAATACTAATCTGCTGTACAGTAATGCCAAGTGATGATTTAACCCAAGACTTAATTAAAACTAATCCAATACATTAAAAAAGTAACTGCAAATTAAGAAAGTAACTGCAAACTCTGGGTTAACACTCAGCCTGTCCCCTTTAGAGTGTATTTTCAGTTCTGGAGAATTTATGGCATTTGCCCCTTATTTATTGCTCTTTCTCTCTGTCCTTACTTCATTCAAAATGGGCCCAAAACAAATGAGGCCTATTCAGGACATGTGCTGGCAGGGGCCACTAGAGCATTTTGATCTCTTCCCCTAAGAATCTCCTGCTGCTGTCTTGGCGATGCACTTTGGATCACAGTCACTGCGCTGAAAAATGAAGCTCTGCAGCCAGAACAGCTTACGACTCCTGGTCATCGTCTCTGTCAGTTCTATGTCTTGGCCCTTTGCTGCCTTAAAGCTTCCCTCACTCACGCAGAAGCTCACAGGCCCTGAACAGCCAGGACAGCCCCTCATCGTAATGCTGAGCCATCGGCAGGCAGGTGAGGCTTTGAAAGAAAGAACGTGCATTTTGCTTTTGTTTCACTTCACAGCGTGTATCAAGAGGGATGAACACCAACAGTTCTTCCAGCACATACAAGTAGTATCACAAGTTATTGGTTTTCTAGTTAGGCCGTTACTTAGGCTGTTCCTTGCCATGTTATTTGACTGTGGAACAACAGCAAACAGCGCTTCTGAAGAGGAGCAAATTAGTGTCACACAACTGTGTGAAGACCTTTGGTGAAGTACCGCCTGTAGAAGATTGTACAGCAGCGCTGTTCTGTCCCAAATCACTCCCCCAAAATAACAGGGAAATAAATATTTCCACAACAGGGTTCTGCTGGAAATCGTATTTACAGCAGCTAAAAACAATCTTGCACAAAATAACAGAATGCAACTAAAAAAGAAAACCGCAGAAGATGAACCTGCTCATTTAACTGTTCCACACAGTTGAATACCAATCTCCTAAAATAGTTAGAAGGTTTGAAAACTTACATCCCTGACAATGAATATTGTCTTAGAATCGGAAATGCATGTTTATCTTTCAAACAATAGAAAAACAGAAGTAATCTAGTTTTAAAAAGCAGCTGTTGTGATGTCTGCTGCTATTTAAATCCACGGACTGAATCACAATATGGTCTAACATAAATATTATTTTTTAAATACTGGTGCTGATGTAATATAAAAACAGTAATTAAAAGAACATTTTTACTATCTGTTTATCAAAGTTTTTGCAATGGTATAGCTGGAAAGAAAAATTGGAAAATCATTCGAAAACACTGGAGGATGAAAATGATTTTCAGAAATAAGCGGCTGTACTACAGTGATCAAGCACAAACAAAAGAAACTTAGGAAGTGCAGCACAAAGAAAAACAAAGCACTAATCAATAAATTGAAGTCATTATAATTTCTGTAGAGAGATCCATCGCCAAACATTCGGAATGAAAAACATACACCTATCTGACTGGCTAAGTGTTTGTAGTTCAGCTGTAGCTGCTGACAAACTGGCCGAAAGTCAAAAATAAGACTGTAATTTATTAAGCTAAACATTCCCAAAGCAGCTTACTCAAAAAAATAAGTACAGGGCACTGAAATGTGAGCTATCTGTTTTACGCGTCAGTGGCAAACAGGTGCAAAAATATATTTCAAGCATTTAACTTTTGGCTAATGGGGTCACTGACCTACCAGGTCCTCAAGTCCATTTGTAATGGAACCAGTTTGTGTCGAAAGGACCAGTTTAAATTAAATTTGTAGATCAACAACAATAGAAATGCCATTTAGAAGCACATGGGCACGCAGCAACAATGATTAAATGTTTGCTAGATGCTATTAAACTGTAACTATGCTGTTATTTGTTTTCAACTTTATTTGAAAAATGAAGAAGCCCTGGTGAGGATCCTGTGGCTGACCCGCTGGCCGTGCTCTCGGTGAACAGAGGACAGCTTCAGGAGGCTGTTTCTCACCGCAATACCCCAGACAGGATGGGCAATGGAATTCGGTGAGGGGGACAGACCCACAATTTAAGCTTTAATTTAATGACAACATACTAGACCTAACGAGCATGATGTGTTAGAGGTACGGTACGCTTGAAAGAAAGAGGCAGAGCACATTTACTCATAACCACCCCCCAGGCCTGTGCCTTACTGAAGACTGCAGATTGGATTATTTGTTAAGGATAAACAGAACCCCCAGCTGAAATTTTTGGAAGGAAACTGGAATGTGATCTGGAAATGTACACATATGGAAAAAAGAAAGCAGTCCAATAAGAATCCCTTGCTGAATTAGCTCAGTCATGCAGTGCACAGAGTTTGCACTGCATGCTCCCTTAAACGTGCCTTTATGGCTTATTCATTTTTTTAATGAACCAAAATTAATCTTATACTTCTATTATACAGTATATTCCAATTAGACCACAGGCCATGGGTGGTCTCTGACTGCTGCACAGCGCTCTATCAAACAACACAGGGAAACTCGCTTCTTAAAAGTTACCCCAGACATTTTAATGAGACCAACTAGGCCTTGCGAGTTTAGAACTGATTCAAGCCCAAGGTAACTTGAAAAAGGGGCTGTTTTAAGAAGCAAATTTACCTTGGCTCCTTGTCCGCATTCATGTTGGTAAAAAAAAAGCAACATTTGAATAGGAATGGCTTTTCTATTAGGACAAAAGCAGTAAAGGTGCATTTGGGGATGAGATTTTACTGTATTAAGACACTTAAGACGTTAGCTGCATAGCAAGAAGCTGCGAAGCAGGGGAGCGTTACAGGGAGGTGAGGGGGAGGCTACAAACATGAGTGGGGGAAGACAAAGTTTTACCTACTTTTGATCTTTGATCCACCGATCCACATTTGCCAGCACTAACTCACTCTCCCGGCGGAGGCGGCCGTTGTCCATCCTCGCTGCTTGCACAGCCTGGTGCACAGCTTCCAGCTGGGGGAGAGCACAGATCAAAGGCCAAGATGAACTCCTCAGAACACACTCTATCTAGCATACTAATAATAACCTTTACAACTTGTAAAGAATCAAGTCATTTTTCTCCACTCCTTCAAATAATCAGGGTTTCCTTGAACATGCTATTAATTGATTCAATATGCTGGAAGGAATGCCTGAAGCTTTCCCATGTCTTAGATTTACTAGTTTATTATGCTAACCATACACGGGTCTCCCACCGGTGCTGGGTATAATTCCAATCAGGTGTATTCAATTAAGTATCTCTTGATCCCACCTTTGTTCTTCTGACATGAAAATACAACAGGTTTTACAACGTTTGCGTACTGATTTTAGCTTGAAGCTTTAAAAAAATATATTAGGGAATGAAGGCATGAACTTTTTTTTAAAGAAAGCAAGCTGTCGTACAGTGGGAAAAAGACGCCACAAAGTCAGCTACAGAACCTTAAGATGAGGCTTTTGAAAAAACATTTTCTGAAAGCATTACAATGATCTGAGCAATCAGGCAAACATCAGAATTCACAGTTTATTTTTAAATGGTTTAAAAGGCATATATCCACTTTCACACAGAATTTAAAAACAGTAGTATTTATAACTAATTGTGGGAATGACTATTGAATTCCATACCATGTTATTAAAAAAGAGTTTATTTCTCTTTCACATCCATGGCATGGCTTCAAAGCATCGAAATAATTTCACATGTTATACTAGCGGCCACTTTCCAAAGGGGGGGCAGCACTGTTGGTGGGTATACCTTCGCATTCTCAGAGCGACCCTTATCATGTGCTGTCAGAACCAAAAGTTCCTGCAGCGCAATTTAAAGACACGCGAGCCGTACGCCCCTTTCACCAACACCAGCACCGTCTCCCGCAATACACACCCGACCAACACCCAGCGTTGGAGGGAGAAGCATTGAGCAGATGTAACGTAAAGGGATTGGCTGCGATTCTAAGAACTGAGCTAGAGGATCACCCATACGGAATAACATCCTAGGCAATAGCCAGGATGGATTTCGACAAGGCAGGAGAGCTCGAAACGGCAGGAACGGACACACAGAGCAAGCGATACGGGCTGGAAGCTTTGCAGGGGGCGGGCGAGAGCCGGTAGGGTGCCGGCTTTGTCCCGGGCACGTTCCCGCAGGCACCGCTCACGCCTCCGCCTTTGACTGGAACCTGGGAAGACGCTGTCAGGCCAGCGAAGGGTTCATGGTCCCCTGTGAGCTGCACTGTGATAACAACACCACAATCTGGAGGGTCTATAAAAGCCCAAGAGCACTTATTTAACGTGCTTGTGAAGATGGAGGCGCGCAACCTGTGACCTCAGGACCCAGCAGCAGCAACCTGGGCCACACTAAATAAAGAAACAATACCTTCCTTCGACTCGCACCCAGACCGTCTCATTAAAACCCAAGTACAAGTGCATCCCCGCGCCCCCTGCTCCCTCTTCAGAAAGCCATCTGTAATGCATATTAACACAGATAAAAGGGTATGCAAATGCACCAGAAGTGATTTCCAGTTTCCATAGATCTTTCAATTTTTTGTGCTTTTAGCAAGTAAAAGTTATTTTTACACACGCTGGGATCTCCATGAAATGAATATACACGTGCCCCATATATGTATATTACACACATGCATGAAATATATTGAGATATATATTTCATCACCTACCACTCACGATGACTCGATATAATGACATGTAAGGTACCATAATTCAGCCAGATATTAATGCAGATTCGATAAATTAACATATCACTCTCCACATTAGGGGATTTAACTATCTGAGGTATTGTATGCAACAGAAATGAAACACAGTCTTTACGAGGGGGACACAACTGGGAAATGTGCCTCACATCTGACAGGTTAAAGACACCGCAATCTTTGTGAGTTATGCACATGTAAATTATATCTAGATATGCATGGCCATTCTAGGCACATACAATTTACAATTTGTCTTGTTACAAAACCTCCAGGTCTCAGATCTCTAAACTTGACATTGTATTGCTTATATAATGTAGTTTTACTATTTTTAAATAAATTAAGAATATACCATCATGAACATGAATACTCATGACCAACGAAGCTTAAAATCAGTTTCATAACACTAAATGTTCCAGTTAAAAATTTTAAATGATTTTTCTCACAGTTTATTTAAGACTCAAATGTATTGATTGCAAATCATTCCAACGAATGCTTTTTACAAATTATTACTGATATCCAGTTTTACTGAAATAAACTAGAAAGTTTCCTTAATATGAGTAATTTTCTAACATCCAACTTAGTTTTCATGTGAGTAAGAGGAATGCAAGCTTATTTTTCTCTCATCCAGGTACCTGGTGCTATTATAGTTACATGGCTGGGTATTGATTCAGTTCAGGCTGTCAAAACAATCTAAAAAACCTTTGTAGCTCAGTACAAATGAATGCAGCTATTTCTCTCACTCTCTGTACAAACTTTATGAAGAAATGTTTCCTCATTGAATAAACTGAACTTATTTTAACAAGTGAATTCACAGTAAAAAGTTTTAAATAATCGAATACATTCTTTAAACATGAAAAAACTTCAGAGTTTGAAAGCCAAAGACATATTTAGAAAGTTACATTCCTCAAAACAAAACCAGATCAGATTTCATTAGAGATTCTGACCAAGTACTGAGCCCCCAGAACAGCCAGTATGGTCATATTAGCCGTGCAGAGTTTCGTAAACGTGAAAGAATGATAAAAACATTTAAAAAACATCTATCACCTCCAACCAACTTGAAACAAAAAAAATTAAAAAAAACAGAAGCACACGCAGATATAACTAATTTTTAAACGCTTCCCTGTTTCACTACAGAATGTAACAGTAGCCCAGATGCCTGATGGAAAATGACAGCCATTTGAGATCCAGCATTAATTCTGTAATCTCTACAGATGCAACAATGCAGCAACTGCTAAAACGTGAAGTTTGTAACAACATACTGTAACTGCAGAAGTTTTTCTACCAGGGTCACTATAAATTAAGTCCATGTGATGCTGGTGATTGAATAGACCAGAACAGAACAAGAAAAGACAGTCCCAGGACAGGTTTCTGGTTTGATATGCAGACATGCAAAATGGTTTCAATATTAACTGGTGTTAATTATGAATTTTAAAAAAAATAACCACACACCAACCGTGAAAATGGTTGTAAAGGTTCTGCACTGGCAAACGAGACTGAAAGGACAGGCAGCAAAGCCCATCTCCGACCTCTGAAGCTGCAGACCTCTACTGCACAAAGTACAGTACGAGTGAGCCAGACGAGTTTTCGTTTTTACACGAGATGCAGTAACTCCTGCATATCGCTTAATTTAGATTTTTAGCAGATATTCACTCTCACGGGATGGGCTCTTGTAAAGCATTGCTGAGATTCAGGTTTTTTTCTTATCTTCTTGTTGAGTTTTGTCAGTTTTTTTCAATAAATTGAGGAATTAATTTTTTTGTAAATAAAAGTTAAGTGCACAGAATATACATTATCTTTCTTATACTACAATAACAATGCAACTACTGTACTATAAATGAGCAGAAATGTTATTGTTTTTTTATGTATCAGTTAACTCGAAAACGCTATTGTTTTCATACTTGTTTCATTATGTGCTGTATTAAGGTGAAGTTTGGGTGTTTGAGGAAACATTTTTGAGTTCTGGAACCAATCAGAGATTATAACGGGAATATTATAATGGGAATTTAATTTTTGTTTTTCCTTATGGGTGTCATGGAACAAATTAAACTTGTATAACGAGGGACTACTGTACTGGTGATAGACAGGAATGCCACTGCCTGTGAAAAATGCAGTAGTGAGCTCACTCCACAGGCATCTGGAGATTCTTGGTCTCTGAGGAACTTGTGCACTGTACATATTTAACACAAGGCCCGTGATAAACAGTATGATGAATAAAATTACGGTATGTTACTCTATATGTTTGACTATAAAGTCATTAACATGTCTTTGAACAAACTTCGTGTTCAAACTGTACTGTAGGAATTACGCAGTGCATTTAACTTCGATACTTCTACAGTACGTGGCATCAACACCTGGTGTGCCCACCATTAGTCCTCAACGCACACTGAGTCACGGCACGATCTGGACTCCTGGGTGAAGCAGGAAGCTTTGGATAGCCCTCGGTGTGCTGAACTCCCATTATGGTGTCGAAAGGTCACAAGACTGCGCCGATGTGGTAGTTTCTGTTACAGTACAATATGTCAAACACGGCTCTCAAAATTCATTTTCATGCAGTGCAGTAAAGCTACTACCTACTGGAGCAAGCTGTCTGCTGAAAGAGGAATTAAAGGCACCCCACAGGAACAAAAAAATACAGCTCCCTCACACCTCTAGTGTTTTCTGCTACACAGAACTGCGAAACCAGCACCAAGTGCGGCGCAGAGCAAGGACTCCCCAGGACACACCAACGTGCAGCCTGGCAGTGACGCCGGCATGCCTGAGCTCAGAGCTGGGTTCAGGTGGTTCCCCTTGAGCCAGCACGCACGGTGAACTGGGCCCTGGTCTGATCATGGGCGATTCGGCTGGGGGCCCCGTGCCCCATGACCTGTGACCTCTGACTCGTGTGCCTCTTCTGTGTGAAGAAGTGGCCTTTGTAGAAGCAAACTCACACAAGTGTGTTGAGAAACACTGTCAGCGGCAAGGAGGTCAAACGGGGAGTGCGAAAACGCAGTTCAGCCTCTAGCCGTGCTTCAGAAACTCGCATGGCACCACATTCCAAACAGGCTCGATACTCACCTCTGTACTTGCAGCCACGAGCTTTTCTTTCAAAACTTGCTGCTCGGTTTTCAGATTCTCTACCTGTTCCCAAAATAATAAAACAGCATAAAACACATTAAATTGCGTAAACTGCATAAGTGACAAGTTTAATTCAACAATGTGAAGAAGGAAAAGTAGCAAACTTTCACAAGCCATTATCTAAATCACAAGACAGCCAATGACAGTGTATGATGAAATGTAAACTCAGTGACAATGTTTTAGAATCACACAATATTTTTTAAACATATTATTTAGTGGTTGTATTGAAAAGCATCTCACCTCCTCTACTTTGCACCTGAGCTTTTCTTGGAGAGCTCCTGCCTCTGTTTTCAATATAACTAACTGTTCTTCTTTGCTTGCAAGCTCTCTGATGGTTTCCTGGCTTGTTCTCTGCATCTGATAGAGCTGCTGACTTAGCTCAGACATTTTCTCTTCATGCTTGCGAGCCTGAGAAAAATAAATTAAAAATGCAAAAAAGTCTGTCATTTTTAGTTCTGACTTTTGTCTTTTCAGCTCTTGGATTTCTATAATTTTTATTATTATTAAGGAAAACGTCGACTGACTTGTATCAGGCAGTTTTACTCCCTGCAGCCCTCCACAAGAAATGAAAGGCATTTGTTTATAATTATCTTTCACACAATAACATACTTAACTAATGCACACAAAAAACTCTACAGGCATAAATGTACAGCCTTGGGCACAGACAGAGGCTCCTGACACAGCGAACGATTATCGAAACTAAACTGCAAAGCCTTGTGTATGAGGCTGTGATCACACTAGCTGCCTTTCAGAGCTGTTAAGAACCTTTTTTCTCCCAGCACATAAAGTAACACATTAATTCAGCATTAATTATAGAACATGTCAAACTGCATTTCAGTCAAAGCTCTCTCCCAGTCTCTGGAGCCTTCTTAATGACAGTAATTACAAGTCCTAAAAGGAATCATCTAAAATTAACATTTCTCTTATGTCTTGATAGGAAAATGTAAATAGCAGAGCTGTACAGATGTTTTGATTAGAAAAATTTACACATCTTTCTTTTGTTTCAACGTGTGTCATAGCGGACAATGATAACTTGACAAAAGCAGCAGATGTTTAATTTCTCCAAGGAACGCAGTGTATAATGTATTAAGAGGTGTAAACCTTCTTAACGTCTAAATTGTATCTTTTGAGGGTTCCACAGCTTCGTCACCACGTGTGTTTAAAAAAAAAATAATACAAAATCAATAAAACTCCAAAGTCCTGATAAATTCTTTATGAACCTGTTCTCTTCATAATCCCTCAAGGTGGATTAAATTGGTTATTTTATTAATCCTTGTTTATTTTAACTTTCAGCCTGTGGTCACACTGACAGCTGTTCCTGTCTCTTCCTTGTCTGTGTTACAGTCCTCTGTTCACTCAGGGCACAGGGTACAGATCCAACAGCCATCTCCATATCCTCCAGCTCACAAACCCTGCTCTTTGCCTCTAGACAATAAAAAGATCATCTAAATTAACTTTTAAGTGTATGACAGTAAATCCTAGCCAACTGAAATGCTTGACAGACTACATACTGTAGTAGAGATCTATATTTAATCCATGCAAAATTTCTTTCATTTTTCTTTTTTTCCCTGCAGTCCATTATTATGTTTTGAACTGCTATTGTCTGCACATTGGTTGCTTACATGCCTTTGACAGCAGAAAATAAGATAAAAAAACACAATGGAACAGTTTGCAGATATTTTTTTAAATGATGTTCCTTCTGCATCTGGATATTCTAACAATGGTAATGTAAAACATTGTGGGTAATGTAACAAATTAAACAACGTGGGTAATATAGAAATAAAAAATGTACATAGACCTAGAACATTTTTTATCTACAGTAAATAAAATTAGATCCACTTTTGCAAGGACATTCATAACACATATCGAGTTTATTAATGATTTCCAGATTTAGCTTTTTTATAGCTGGGACTCGTATTATCTAGTCACATCCACAGTGGGCCTGCAAAGATATTTAATAAAGGCTGCTGTTGGTAATCCTCTCCGATTACCTCTAACCTGCCAGCTATAACATACAGTGTGCAGCAGCTCCTCAGAAGGACATCACACTGGCACCTGGTATGATGTTTGACAGCTTATTCTGCTGCATCAAGCCAGTACAAAATTACTTTTTTTCCAAATCCATTCCTAGTTAATAACCAAAGGCAATAATGGTATTCTGTATGTGCAAGTGCATGGAGAAGCAAAATGAAGCAGCAGAGAGGAAAAGATTAAAGAGTGACGATTATAAAGAGGAGATAAAAACACACACACACTGGTCTTGGAGCTCACTACAATGTTTCAATTATAATACCATGCAGAGTGCACGACAGACCACTTTGGAAAACCCACTCCGTGATTCCGAGAAACACAGGGGAAAATTTCTATTGTGTTTATACAAGACGCATTCTTAGTCTATTTGAAACATATCAACATTTCAAATTTTCCTTTATGAGGTGTTCGTGCGTATCCCTGGGGAGAAGCCAGAGATTTATCTTTTCTTTAAGTGTATTAGAATTTTCTTTTCCACTATCTTACACACTAGGAGGAATATATTGATCAACAGATCATCGCGTTTCACCCTCACAATATTTTAAAATTTAATCAGACATTCTGTTAGGATGCATGAAACGATCAATATTACTTCTAAGATTTATTCAAATGCATATTATTTCAAGCATTACTCATGGTTGCATCCAAAGGAATAATTTATACATATGCTGTGGTCTTCAATAATATTGGCACCCTCTTAGGTTTAACATTATTTCCTACCTAAGCATTACGAATGGACTCCTTCTGAATTTGAAAAAGCTTCTGCGACAAACTCATTAAAAATGACAAAGCAATATAACAAATTTCATTAAACACAAAAAAGGTTGAAAAACACAAAAAAGAAAGACAAGGCTGTAAACCAAATGCCAAGTTATCTTCACCAACAGATTCGTGTCTTTCTTGGAAGTGGCAGTTTCCAAAAAATGTAAAAGTGTACATGCAGATTTATAACGTAGATCACTAGAAGGGTATACCTGCTTTTTTTTTCTGTGTTTTCTTGTTTCTTCCTCAGGTTACTGACTGACTGGCTGGCTGTACAGGACTAAACCCTGTGAATTAAAGACTAAAGAGTAACAGAGCCTGTCTTCACTGGCACAACGCCCAGTGCTATAGAAACAGGGTTTTTGAAACCATCTGACCATGATGTTACCATTCATTGCTTTTAGTCTTATAACTACTCATCAAATTGTTCATTTCAGTAACTCCAGATGTTAAATCCTCTGGTAACCATGGAACTTGATCCCAAAATATACAAAGTGCCGTGAAAAATCAGGCCCTGCTTCCTCCCTATTCTTCATTGCTTTAAGAAATGATTTGTGCCAAGATGTTCAAGCCATCTGGAATATTCTGCAACTGCAGTGGCTGCAGCCAATGACAGGACAAACAGGTAATGAGGTTTATACGCCATCGAAGCATGTTTAAACAGAGATGCAAGCCTGCACAATTTGTCTCAAACAACTGGAGATTATCACTCAAAATCTAAACGGAGCTTTACTAGAAAATGGAACTCTGCAGTGGCAGTATCAGTTATGGAAAGGTAATAAACCCACAGTATATGTTTGGTGACATGTGATTCAACAGTTTGGCATGGAGCTGTTGGGAATGAACAGCACCCCCTGCTGGCCAGGTGGTACAAACCACTGGGGCTGAACTGGCCCTGTGCAACTCGAGAGAGGGTTTCTGATCGATCTGACTCTGATCCAGCGATGGCAGAGCAAGTGCGCACCGCAGAAACTACCAAAGTTCTGCAAAAGGAAGCAACCGTTTTATACTTTAGGGGAACAACGCTGTGGAGAAGCCAGCAATGCTACTTGATGAGCTTGTTGTTACCCATAGCAATCTCACTGCAGTGTGATGAACACGACTTTTTGAGATCTGTTCCACACACAATCACCATTGTAATCCTTCCACCTTTCAGTAATACCTGCACTCACACAGAAAGGATCTCTTGTGACTTTCTGCTTCAATCGTGGTTCAGTGTCATATACTGGACCACTAAATTGATAGATCTCAGCCCAAAGGACTAGGTGAATAGAAACTTAAATCTTCCTCATCCACCACCAAATACATATACGGTGTATAAATACGAGCTTTTGGAGCTGTGAAAAAACAGCATTTTAATCTTGTTTTCCATTTAAACGTCAACAGAGATTTTGCTCTTTTCTTAAAGTTAGGAATACTTGTATTTCTTCTGTGATCATGTCGACCATTTACTTTACTCCTTCTGAGTCCTGGCTAATCCCAATTCTTTATACAGTACCAAATCATATCCACTCAATCTAAATTATGTTTTGTTTACTTGCATACATTAACTAAATATTTCTGTTTAAAAATATTGAGCTCTTTCATTAGCATTAGTGTTTATGCATTTTTTGGTAATAGAAATATTTCTAGTGGCAAGCAATTCTTTTCCATTGCTGTTGTATGTGCCATTCAATTTTTAATTCAGTTAAGTCCCATAGATATAGTTAAAAATAGATGGTTTAAGACTAATTAAAATATCCAGTGGGCCCAAATTCATTTTAATATGTATGTCTATGTAATTAAGTGGATCTGAATTAAACATACCTACTTTTGCATGGGAGGAGATTATTAAAAAGAACCTTCATATACTTCATCTTTTCTTTGGTATTCTGCTGGGAACAGCAGAACTACTTATAAAACTGGTGGCCACCGGAGCACAGGAAATTCTTTATTAATATTGCTAATGGATATTTTAATTGCAGATGTACACTTTACCGTTTCATGGTGAAGAGAATTTCCTGATGCTTTTAATCACAGAATAGTAAATAATGAATACTACCCAGTTAAGAAAATGAGGGATGCTTACTGCTTTTTGATATAACATACATTTGATAACATATAAATCAGTGCCTTCAATATTGGATCAGACCAATTTTGGCCTGAAGTCAGGGGTCAAATTTGAAGGACAGGACAGAGGTGGGAGAGTGCGATGGGAGAATTGTGAATAATTCGGAATCACATGGGAATCACCTGGTTAGCTGTGGATGAGACCTGATTGATTTCAATAACCTTATTTCTATAAGTTTTTCTCAACACCTGGTATTCACCAATTATCCCTACATTTCAGAGGGACCGTTGGTTTCCATGACTGTTTGTGTTGAGCACTGCCACCTGTGCAAAGAAACCTGCTGTGTTCAGTCTCGGTGCTTTTTTAGCTCTGATCCGTCTCCTTAGAACACTTACAAATAGGGCTGTGGTCAATTTCGTAAGGAAAACCTTAAGTATTGATAAATTTTACACCCCATAAATCCTAACAATCAGGGTGCTCAAAGTTATTCTGTGGCATTTAGCATCACTCATCTTTGTGTAATGGGCACAGTCAGTCAAGAAAGGAAGATAAATGCTGGAGCGATGCTTCGAGAGATGGCTGAAATAGCCAAATCCTTTCATCTGTCGCAAAGAGTGGAAAATTGATTCTTCAACCACAAAATCATTGGTTGATTCCCATATATCCTGCTCCAGGCACCACCGCAGATGGGAATTCCTTGTTCTTCACACTGATGAAGGATATACACACAGATGAACTGCGACCGAAGCCAATAATTCATGCCTCATGGTGCAGTGTTCCACCAAGTGGGAACAGCTTGCTCAATGCCAGATCGTTATCCTGGGCACGGCAGCGTGTGCTTTGTGTCACTAGCCACTGCACACGTCCGGGGTGGGTTTCAAGCGTAGTGAGCCGCTGCGGAGCAGGATGGCTCTTTCAGGGGCCGGTGTCATGCAGGCGCACTGTAAGTGTGGTCGTTCCGTGAGAATCTAGGGAAACGTCTTTATTGGTGCTGCAGTTTGTTCAGCCAGTGCATTCAAGAATCGGATGAATACACACGGGAGCTTCCTCCTTTTCTATGTCACACAGAAGAGCCTGCATGATCCTAATGACATGTTAGGTGGCCACAGAAAACTGTATTAAAACTGGTATTATCTCTTTTTAATTGGATAATTGAATATATTGGTTAGGGTGATGGGCACTACTGAAATGGGCACCATGTAGCCTGCACTCACTCTATAACCTGTAACACGAGAGACCTAAACCCAGCAAACTTCTCATAAAAATTCATTTAGATGTGAGATAAAAACATTCAGATGAATGTCAAATGAGCTTCTCTTGGCTCTCTGCGCCTCTGAAGAAAAGGAAAGAGTCCATTATGAGCTGCAGCTGAGCCTGTTTCAGCACCTGTCGGGTGGATGCTTGTCTGACCTCTCCTTCCACCTGCCTGTTGAGATCGTTCACCTTCTTAACTTTTGAATGAAGAGCTTTCATTTTAACTTCGTAAGCAAAGATTTCTTCTTTGAGCTTCTCATCTACCTGCTGAACGCCGACGATGCTGGTTTCCAGAGCCGACGACATCTCGATTTTATCGTTAAGCCGCACAATTTTTGTTGAAAGAAAAAAGCAATCCAGATAGTTCTGTATCGGGTGCTGCTTTGAAACGGAAGAGCAACCCAAAGCAAAAGAAATTTTCCGAACACACCTCCTCCTCCGCTGCTTTCTGTTGCTCGCGGCCGGCGGCCAGCTGGAGTTCCAGGTCCCGGACGCTCTGCTCAGTGGCCGCCAGGTCCCTGCTGCAGGTCCTGAGCGAGTCCGCTGCCTCCTGCAGCTCCGCGCCCTGTTTCGCCAGGGCCCTCTCACAGCGCCTCGCCTGAAGCAAGCACAACAGACACCCCCTGAGGCCCCACGCACAGGCCGAGCCCACCGCCTCCCTCCGGAGGAGACTGCATGGCTTCTCTTACGGCCAGCACAGAGGTCCTTTTCATAACTACTTCAACAGCAAGTATTTTAATCGAGCATCCTTTCCCCAGGATGAGCGCATTTCTATAGGAGATTCAATCAAATGTGGTGCTTCCCTCTGTCTTTTGTATTTGATTGGAAAAGATACTTAATGTTCTTCCTAAGGACGTTAAGAAAATGACCGTTTTGCATTACAACTTGAGATATGCCATCGTTCACAAGCTCGCAGTTTGTGTGGTTAGTGTTCAAGTACACCTCTACACCTCGGCATTTCACAGTTGTAAATTATAAATATTTAATCTCCAATAATGTTCCCTCATTTACCAAGTGAAGGAAACATTGTCTGCTGAACTGTAATTACTGGACATTGGCAATACTTTAGAGTTCATTGAGCACATTTTCATCCAAGTGCCAGTGGAGACTTCATGCGAATTAGGCTTCTATTGAGCTGCAGAAAAACAAATGCACACATTGCGTGAAATGCATCATTCCTGCAAGCACATTTCCTGCTGAGGAAACAAGGGCATTTTCTTACTCCTTACATCACTGCAAAATAATGTTCACAGAATGCGTATTTAGATTTTCAGTGGCTCTCAGTGGAGTTTCACACAAAATGACTTTTCAGGCTGGAGGCTGTAGCCATCCAAGGTTGGTACATATTGGGAAGGAGAATCCGACCAGTGTAGCCATGAAGAATGAGCTGCAATGTCTGTCTTTCGCTGGTAAGAAGCGCACAGTTGAACAGGGATTTGCGTTTCCTGCAGCTGACAGAGCTGTTGGAAGCTAGTGTCCATGCGTCCAGTATCACTAGAACTAGCAGCTCCACCGATGGCAAATGACAGATCAAGCCTTTCAAACTGGCTACGCCGATACAATGTGTGCAAATGTCAGAGCAGCGACCCTGAATTTAACTTGCATTCATTTCACTGAGACATGTTCATTAATAGTAGCCTGCACAAAGTATGGAAGCAGAAAGTGAGATCCAATAAGTCTTGTTTGAGCTAAGGCTAATAACTCATGATTAACAGCAATAATAATAATAATAATAATAATAATAATAATAATGGATGATGCCACACATCAATTAAAGTATTTACTGTATTTGAAAAACAAACAGAAATAGAAATATTTATATAGTATAAATATCCACATTATTTACTTTATCTATTTTTTTTGTAGAAAAATCAGCAAACGAATGGATCAACAATATAATAGTATCGTGTCATTTTGTTAGGCAAGAAGAGAGTGAAGACAAATTATTTGCCTTTTTTGTTTGTATAAGTACAGTATAAAAAACTAATTTAATCATACCTCTTCAGCGTGAAGCTCTCGCTGCTTTCCAGCAGCAGCTGTGCTTAAACTAGAGATTTTCAGCTGAGACTCTGCTTCTAAGAACCTCTCCAGCAGATTTCTGTGTTTCTCTTGGACATTGGCAATTTCATCTTCTAGCCTTGCAATGCGATTTTCACGATCTTTTAACTGTGGACATGTAAATATTTATATATGTTATGATATATATTAGATTATCGTACAGTTCTTAACTGAACCAGTGTAGCCATGAAGAATGAGCTGCAATGCATATAAATCTGCACTGAAACGGCTGGATACAGAAACTACCGGGGCTGTTTGAAAAAGTCCTGGCACACACTTCATTTCACCCTCCTTTCATCTTGCACACAATGAAACTTCAAGGGAAAAAAATCATTGAAAAAAGGAGTATCGGGAGTAACAGAAAAACAAATTCCAACAAGTTGAGTTCATCAGTGTCACTTCTCTGTAAACCGAAAGGAAAGGTTCTGTGTTCCGACTGAAGATCACGATATGGCAGCGCTCTGCTAACCAGCGCACTCAGAAGCTCAGCCGGAGCCGCAAGGAAAACTGGCCTCGGCCTTCTGAACGAGCCAGTGGCATAACTCCTCCATACCGATCAGCCTGCCTTATGAACTATGATCACTCCCTCCCGAAAGAGACATTTTACTCCTGGTTATGCTCTTATATTCCAAACAAACAGGAAAAAAACACAGTTAACAAACAAATAATTAAAAATACTGTGACTTCAACAGGTAATAAATAAGCCCAATTTGTTATAATTTCACAAAGCCAAGCAGCAGAAAGTCTATCTTACAGGGTAATTTTAAAATAATTTATCCTCATTCAAAATCCACTTATCTGATACGTAAAGTAATGGCTTTGACCTCGGCAGATGAGGCCATTTCAAACCCAATTTCCTTTGGATTCATCAAGCTTGACCATTTCTGGCCTCATAATGATTGTAAGGCAGGTTACCTCAGAGGGATAAGGAAGGTAATGCCTCATAGAAAAACATTACCGAAAGAGCCCGCCACAGAGAAAGAAAAATTCTTCCAGTGGCACAACACAAAGGAGGGAATTCAGACAGCCGTTTCTGTGTAGGTGTTATAAACACTTCTCAGTGGAGCGTAGAACACTTGGCAATCAAGACAGAAAAGGGATATGAATGAGGGGCTAATTTAATTTATGGAATTCTTTGCATTGCTGATGTTTTCTTTAAAAACCCCCAATAATGTAATTTTTCTCCCCCCCTTTTTTCATATGCTCTTAGTTTGGAGAAGCCGATTACAATTCCACTTCAGCCACCACAGCGGACCTGGAGAGGAGAACCCATCAAGACCAGGGTGGACACCACTCTCACTGCTAACACCACATGCCTGCAGGAGCCAGGCCAGTGGAAGGACCAGCCAGCACTACAGATGCCAAGAGAGGAACGACCAGCACCCGCCAAGGGCTCATCGCAAACTGCCCCCCTGGCAACACGACGTGGGGCACAGCATGGATTCAAACCAGTTGCCTCCTGAGCATAAGGCACAGCCTTTTACAGAGGACACACTTCAGAATCCCCAACAGCTTAAACAGGGATTCAATGCATTCATCGGTATTTGTTTCTATTACTTTAATCAAATAACCAAAGAAAAAACGAAGACGGCTTAAATAAAGTATTCGGGGATCAGCAAAGTGAACAGAATGCATTTTGCATCAAACATCTGCTCTATACCTGAACGCCCACAAACTTCCAGCTTAACCTGAGGCTAAAAACAAACATTTCACCTGCATTGAATCTTATTCACCATTGTTCATTTAAACAGAATATTTTTCAGGCCATTTCCAAACTGTAAGCAAGGATCTTTCATTTTTTTTCTTTTTGGTAGGCTATATTCATTGATGTTTTCTAGAAAAGCAGATTTGCAAACTTAAAATCACATATCATGGTAATCATGTTCACAAGTGCGTGATGACCATTAGTTTTACATTTCACCTTTTTTTTTCTCCAAAAAACAGCATAGTGGTGCGGACCAAAACTGTCCACATTCTTACTAGATATTAAAACCAACTCACAAGGAGCTGAAAACTAAAGTATATGTATTGATTTGCTACACAGAGGTTTAAACAAAACAATAAAATCATCATACTATAACTATGTCCTAATTATTTTAGGAGATATGATATAAAAGCATTCATTTTTTTATTAAGATGAAGTGAATATGCTTCCATTCTGTTTTTCCAAATCATAAGGTTTATTCTAGTAGTTTCAGTATCTTCAAACCAGATGTTTTTCTCCCTCACATACACTTCAACTGATTCATAAGGTTTGATGTCAGTAAATGCTTTTACCCACATAAAATAATACCACATATTCACATGTTAATGGTTATAATATACAGTATTCTTCTCAAAGGGAGAGATTCAAGTGCTTTATTGTATTTGATTTGGCTTCACTGCTGCTATGGTCAGTTTCTGTCTATGACTTTTAATTAAAAACATACGTTTCTGTGGTATCAGCGCAGTGACAATAATACAAGGCTTGAGCAGATCAAAACTTCATGAGCCCAGAGAAGTCTAACAATATCTTGCCAAGCATGAAAGAAAGAAAAACGTTGCTTGCCCAACATGAAAAAATTACATGTGGTCCTTTCTAGAAAAATGACAAACGATTCTTTACAATAAAAGTATTGTGGTTAAGACAAAATATCTTAAAATGTATGGCTTTCTTTTCCACTACCATCATTCTCTTGTTGTATGGATGAATGCTGCAGCAGGCGTTCCCCATGGCTCTGTTTTAGGCAGCACAGCTTCTTGGAGACAATGTCAGGAAGAAAATATTGTTCTTCACTTGCTGAGACATGTACAGTATCTGCACCAATTATAGCTCAGGCGGCCATGGCAAAAACTGGATCATTTTAGAGGTCTGGGACATTGTGTGCTTGGGTAAAGAAAAACAACACACACACATCCATCACACACCAGTCTGTAGGAATAAGAGCCTGAACTGGGATTTTTTGCTTTTCTTTCAGAACGGTGAGATTTTCAGAAGCCACTATGCCAAATTATAAACTATACTGTCAGCTTTTTTGATATGATAAGCAAGGGATGCATCAGAAAATACGCATTCTAAGGTAATGTGCAAAATACAACCATACCATATTTACTCTTAAGGTGCTTTCATGAAGCAGAAACACTGTTGCAAAAAGAGACAGTATACTTCTGACAGTGGAGGGTTGAACACAGCTAGAAGACAAAGTGAAGTCAAGAGGAATTCTCTCAGACAGATTTCACAAGACACCTCAAAAGGAAGGGACACAGAGGACAAGAAGAAAATGAGTGCTCATAATACTGTACATCCCCAGCAGCAGCACACAAGAAAGAGAAAACGAGAAGCTAACTGGGCAGTGGGGAATGTTACTACACAAAAAGAAAACACTGTAAACAACACACAACACTCCGGCTTTAGTGTGCTTCACATTTTCTTTGCCAACTTTCTTTGCCAACAGACACGTTTTCAAGATTACTTAACATCACAACAAATGCTCCAAATTCCATAATGAATTTTCAGCTGAATAACATATTTTGTTTCCAACGGTCTTTTAATTCATTCCGTATGCAATAACCTTTAAGTTCCCTTGTTGAGCGGTTTTTAAACCGCACAAAGCAAATGAAATACATTTCTTCTATTCAGTAAAAAAAAACTTTAAGAGAGATGACAAATGAGCCAGGGAAACTTTGTTTTTTCCACTCTACGTACGTCACCTTCATATCTAAAACAAGCACAGACTCCACTGACCGCCTCAGTGTCGTTTTTCTGCTTGGCTCTGAGAAGCTCCCCCGCGGTTTCCATGTCTGCGATGTGGCTCTTGAGCTTGCCCAGTTGGCGCTGCAGGTCCTGGTACCGGGCTTGTTCCAGGCCCAGCTCTTCCCAGCTCTTCCCTCAGACTGCGCACCAGCGCCTCCTGCTGATGTACCTGGGGAAACACGCGGCAGGTGGTCAGGCTGTGCTCACTGGGCCATTTGTCGGAGCCTGGAAATCTCCACGGCACCGCAAATGACCGCAGAAACTCAGACGCGAATAACCGAATTTACGGTTCGATTTTATGGACAAGCATGAGCAGCTGCACCCAGTGAATTAAACTAATGCTCCCATGACCTGTTGTGCTGATACAGACTAAGAGAAGCACCACAGTACAGTTGCTACTGTACAAGCAGGAGGCAGTGACTGAGCACACAAGAGAAATTAATGATCCCGCTGATCATTCGTGTAACTAACGCCTCACTGTTTACCCTATATGCAGCTACAGTGCATCACAGCTCTTTGGCCCTTGCTTTGAATCCAGACTGGGATTCGAATTTCAAGAGACTTTGGCTGAATATAATGGTTGCATACTTCTCCCATTAATCACCACATGTGAACTGAGCAAATGATTTGGACTGTGTTGAGGAAAAGTAAGCAATGCCAGTTCTGTTGAGCCCTCCCCCCTTTGATCCATGCAGCTCGCACCTACTGCGTAGGAGGGGGTCTGCACAAAGTCGCGGGAGCCCCCAGACAGCACCTTATCTTCCAGCCATGGTCCCCCAACGTCTCACCTCGCACCCCGCCCCCACTTCCCCGGTATCCCCAGACCATGCTGGGTGTCGGGCGACGCACAATACTGTGAGAGGGTCACGCCACCGAGCACAGGGACTACGCCACGTCTGGAGGCGAAAGTGTTAAGACCTGCGCTGGAGCTGCTCACCGACGACAGGCCGTGCGCGCTGGAGGGACAACTTCCTCCACCCTGATCTTCTCCCACCTCCCCACCCGTCCTCCAGGGGGCCCCTCATTTTCAGAAGACCTGCCCACAGACGCCTGGCAAATCCCAAGGATCACAGCGGTGTGCTGTGCCAAGGACGCCCTCACCCAGGCAAGGCCACGCTGGTACAGCAAATGTTTCCAATCGCCAGATATGTGCATTATGTACTCGTACATTCTTGGATGCTAGTCACTATTTAAATTATTGTTCAAATAAATAATGTAGCCTAAGTACACTTGTCAACACAGGATTACAGTCCGGAATACTTTAATCGTATAGGCAATTTCACCACAACCTAGATATTTTTAAGCAGCATAAGATCAGGAAAACAAGAAGTAACCCTTTATTGTGAGTGTTGTATCTCAGCGTTTAATATACTGTATGTTCTACACGGTTTAAAATAATCTGTAACCAGTAATACAAGAAATCAAAAGAGCTCCAATATACTTTATTTTTTGGATATAATTCTTGTTACTGTATAAACCCACGCATTTCACAAACCATCTGCACCTCAGTCTTGAGATATATGTTTTATTATACGTTATAATGCTTTACGACTCGGACAGAAATGTATCGGACGAAGCACTTACAGTACATTTCATGTCAGTATCGCAGATACCCAAAACTGTATGCAAAGAAAAATCAACAGCACAGCACTGGGATGTGTATAATCACTATTGTATTGGCTCATTTGTATAAAAGAAATTAAAGATTGATTTAGATTAATGGCTTCCTTTTATAATTAAACACTGAAACAATGTTGTGAGACAACACACATCGTATTAAAGAACTCTGTATACAGTAGAGATGTTGTTTGTTTGCCACCTGTTTTCTCCTTGCTGTTGTCAAAACCATATATAGGGAATTCTTGCTTGTACTGACTCTCACTGGAGACAGACGTAAAACATAACAGAGCTAGAAACAGGCCCAGCAGTTGTTCTGAATGCCATCAACAGAGGGCCTGACGCTCTAGAGCACAAATACACTTCTGGTAGTGCCACTCAGCTGTGTGTGTGTTTCATCAAAACAGAGCCCACAGTGTTAATTAAGGATATTAGATAATCCCATCACTGACAAAGAGACAGTCTAATAATAACAGCTAATAAAGCAGTGGTATCAAATTTTATTACCATGTCGTTGGATAAATTAGAATTCAGATCCCAGAGGTGAAAAAGGAACAAGAGAGAGAAAAGGATCAGTTGTTCACTAACAGAGATCTGTGAAATTAATAAAAATCAATATCTGATGTGGTAATAAATTTGAAACAGAAATTAACAAAAAGCAGGGACACAAAAGCATAAAACATTGTTAGCATCACTTTTGTTTCTTCTTAGTTTTTGATTCCAAAACCTTCCTGATTCCTCTCTACGTTAACAATTTTTCACTCAGTTAAAAAGCAAGATATTCATTAAAATGATAGCTTGTGGTCTCGTTATTTAGATTTTTGAAAGAATGCCATGCGTTCTTAAAAACCGTGACTGTGAAAACTAGAGCATCAGTGAACATGTTTTGATTTTCTGATTGCCAAGAGTGATGTAGGAAATAGAATAATGGACCTACATATCTGGTCAAGGCAACTGGCTTGAATTGACAACCCATCTGACAAACTTGTGTTCTGAACAGATTCCTGTACTGTTACGTATTTAAGAACCTTTTAAAATGATAGATATAATTATAGTTCAAAATAAAAATTCTAATTATTCATCGTGTCATACTACAGCTTGCATTACAAGATAGATGGATGAAGTTTTGTTTTTAAGGTCAGCATGGCTTATTTTTTACACTGCACTATGACACCGACGCAGGATAAGTCGTGAAGAACATAATGTCTGTTCTTCCTTTAACTCCTGGAGAAGTATGAGTGACTTTTAACTTAAGAGCGCATGAGAAAACAGCTGCTTGTTTCAACCACCAGAAACAGGTAAAGTGTCCAAACTGAATGAAAAGCTAGTGAGGATAATAATTATTTACCCAAAATGAAAACAGGGATATACAAATAAAATCAAAATAGTATTTCATCAGAATAACAAATTAAAACACTGTCGTGAGTAATTCAATCTGCGCTCCAAAGTGGGACCTACTGATCACATCACCAGCACAGACTCCAAAGATGTTGAAAAAGACTAGCATCGCATCATGCAACTGAAGAGATAATGAGTTTCACAACTATTTAATACACAGGCTGTCTGTCCTCAAATTATGGTCTATAAACATGATAGATCATATTGTATTTTTGTTTTGTCGTTTTGTCTTCAGGGCACTCTGGCACTTCAGTGAAGACTTTATGATATGAGGGTGAAAAGAAAGCTAGCTTGAAGAAGCAACAGTCCCTTACATCCTCTTTGTCCTTCCTGGGCATCATAAAATATTAAGAAGAAACAAAGATTTTGACCATCATATGATGCTAAAACAACAACAACCAACGAAAGTGGATGACAGCATTTAGGCATCAAATACACCCCAGAGCTCCAGACTCCACCACCACTCCAGAGCCCAGGAGGTAAGCCAGTTCCCACTACCAGTGCCCTAACTAATTCACTGCAAGAGATGAAGAAAATAACAATAACAGCTAAATTATCTAATCCTATGGATGGCAACTGCAGTCATTAAACCACAACATTCTTTAAGTGCTTTAAAAACTTTTTTTTTATTCAAATAAACAAATAGAAGCCAAACCAGTGCATATTTATAAATATTTTGTTTTGTGAAATAATCCAGAAGCAAAAGGATCCAGAAGCAGGAATCTGTGCGGACGGGATGAGAAGAAGTAAACATTAAGTTATAGCCCATACCGTAAGACACCGAACTGCAAGTAAAGTGTCTCTAATCTCCTACTTGTATTCCCATCCCAGACTCCAAAACGCATCAGCATGTTTTATTTGCCACTGGGATTATACTGGAGTTGACTCATTCATAAACAAGACCATCATTATTAATTATAATTACTAGTAAGTCTAATATATGAAAATTTAGAACCTGTGAGTGAATTTCTATCCTAAATCTAAAGATAAATAGGATCTGTATTCTAACAGGAAGGTTAAAAGGACCAATTCCAAGTCAATAATGTGAGACAAATGAGTCAATTTTCCAAGACGAGTATGACTCCGAGTAAACTGCAGCGTAACAGACAAGACAGCTCAGCAACCTGGAGCCAGACCTGGCAAAGTTCACGCCACCCCCTCTGCTCCAAGCCACCGGACTGAGGCGGATAACTACTGTAGGTCCCGAAACACCAGGAGAATCTGCTGCCTACCGTGTTAATCACGCGCCAGATCGACTGGGCAGCTGATCAGCACTTCTGATTCGATCCTGGAGAGCTAGCGCAAATTGGAGTGATATGCTAATAAGTAGCGTAAGACAAATACCAACTTTACACGTCGGCGTAGTTTCAGAAATAAATGTTAAATGCCAGGGTCACTAATCCGGAATTAAAGTATCGTGTACTGCAGTGCTGTGCCAATTAGCAAAGGCCGTGACTAACTGAGGCCTTTCGTTTCTTTAGGTTTAAGGGCACCTTTAGAATGAAAGTGTCCTGCACATGAGGGATCCACACAATCGTGCTCCTTGTGTCCCAAAGTGTCTCAGCCACTTTTTCCAGTGTAGATGTCCTATCATCTACGATTTTCATTACGAAGCTTTTAACAGACTAAGTGTAATTACTATTCGCATTAAAAGTGACATGATTCACTCAGCAGAGTAGTGGTTTTTGTTACTTTACAAGAAGATTTAAGGGTTTACCAAAAATAATCCAGTAACATTTTAGATTACGGATTGAACGGGTTGACCATTTAGAAAGTGCTTATATCCCGATTGGAATCGAACACTATTCATATTAATACTTACATACTTATTAACAAATTCAAACATTTTTGTACATACTTATAAAGTATTACTTGTAACCCTTCAACTACAGTGTTACTGGCATTACTGTTTATTTTCCAGTCTGCACTGGATCAGTTCCAGGAAATCATTCAGAGCTGTCACGGGACTTTAAAAAAAAAGGTGAGACAGCGTCTTCATTCATCAAACAGTAAATAGTAACACATTTAAATTGCATCACAATTACAGAGTTTTTCAGTTGAATTTTTAAACCTATCCCTATTTTTCCCTTATCACTAAGGAAATGATTATAATTGAAGTGAAGTTCCGTCTTTCAGTCCTGTATTTGCAATCCTTTCCTACACGTCTAAAGAGGAACACTTACTGGAGCTCACACGGTATTGATCGTTGAAGCCTCAGCATCCTGTTCCCAGTGTGGGCATCCAACAGGACGAAATTTCAATAAAAAGATCAGCTGCTCGTCCAGGTTTCACTAAGGCAATTTGTGATATGGATTTATTTCACTACCTGCACTGCCAGTAGCTGCTTTTACTATTTAAAAGCTTTGATTTGATAACTCCGGACACTTTAACTTTTAAAGTGTTGAATACCATCATTCGGAAATGGAAATATCTTTATAATCTCTCTTTTTGCTTAAAAAAAATGGAAGCTTGTGGCGTTCAATTGAACACACATTTTCATAACCATATTGGAATTTCCAAATCTCCAAATGTAATTTTTTCTGATTTAATAATTTTGCTTAATATGCATTTCTGATTTAACTTCTTTAGGTGTAAGTCTTAAGTATATAGAATACCAATATAGAATACATAAAGGAAGTACTGTCTTTCAGTTTTTTCCCCAAAGGTTAGAGTGTGTGTGGCTTCCCGCATAATTCAAGGAAATTAACTTGACACATTTGGAAAATATTTAGGTTACAAATGCCAATCAATGTAGTTACATAGAAAGATTAATTTTTACTCAGTGCCTAGGCTTTCATGATGAATTATTTGTACATACTTTTTTTAGAACGCACTGGGCATCCCTGATTCCCCACAACCATCAGTTTTAGAGATATTTAAATCATTATTGACTAAAGATAAAAACAATCGTCGCTGCAGTAAATCAATCGTTCAGTGAAGAGACGCAGCTTTTGAATGGAAAAGAAAAACTGGTAATTCAACCAAACCAGATCTGATGGCTCCTGAAACATTTCTGCAAAGGTGTTGAGAGTGAAACGGATCTAAAGACATAATAGAATCCATTTTAACATTCTTGAGAAAAACAAGGATTAAGATAATCTTCAAAAATATATTTCAAGTGACATCTGAAACCAAAAGCAGCTCCAGCAGAAGCATTAAAACATACTTTTAAACGAATTAATGAGAAATCTTAAATGTGTAAAACTTACAGTCCCAGCATCCACAAACTAAAATATCTTTGTATTCTCTGGATTATATTTAATAAAACAGAATATTTTAGGACCTTATAAAGTATTAAGAAAATGGAAGGTGCTGCATTATTCAGTACTGCAGCAACTTAAAAAGAATTTAAATTATTTCCAAAGAAATTGTGCAAGACCTGGATTAATTAGCTCTACCATTGTACCGCTGAACCTGGCTAAAGCAATATAATCTGATCCCCACAAGTGTAACAGGATGAAATATTAGACTAAAGATTCTTTTCCATATTTAGTTCTTTAATATGAGAACAAGATAATCCACCTCTTCCACCTCATATTCTGTGCTAATCATAGTTTTCGACATTTCTGCGTTCCCTGGCTTCGTGTCACAGCTAATGAAATTTCTGGCTGCGCGTTAATAGTCGGACAGACAGATACATAGGCATCATTGCTGTTACTGTAGACGGTGAGAGGTCATGCCGATTTTCATGAATTATTAAGAAACTCTAGTTACCGGGTATTAGCACAGAATGTATGAACTCGTCGCATCTGACAAGGCAGGATTAGTGTGAACCCGCATGGTGTACGTAGCTCGGTGTGTCACCTGCTGTTTGAGGGTCTTCAGTTGATCTTTGCAACATGTGTGCTCCATCTCTATCTTCTGAGAGTCCTGCTGGAACTTCACCACCTCCTGAAGTGCCTGCTGCTGGCACTGCTTGGCCGCACTGAGATCGGATTTTAATTTCTCCACCATTTGTCTGTGAAGTTAAAAAAATTGATATTTAAAAAAAGACTGCATACTATTTTTAAATAATACTGTGGGAAAAGTCTTCCGCTTTTATAATCAGAAAACATAATAGATATGGGCAAAACAAGACACAAATTAACATTATTATTAAGATAAAATTAATCACGGTGGAGATTTTAAATTTATTTTTGCTTTGTTTTAGGTAGCGGTGCTACCACAGAAAAAAATAAAATTAATCAATATAAGACAAAAAAAGATAAAAGTTTGAAATCACAACTTCCTTAAAAGGCACACATGCTGGAATCTCTTGAAAGATAATATTGGATAACAAAGGAAATTGCATATGTTAATTAAATGCAAGCAATAAAAATAATACACCAGGGATTTTTATAAAAAAAGGGCTGTTTCCTTATAATAACAACTCAAAGAATGATCTAACTGCACACACAATGTGAAAATTACCGTATTAAAACATGAAAGCTTTGAGTACTGAGTTATAAAATTGAGGAAAACTTATGTTTAATTTGCATCTTGATCTCTACTATTAAAATGAATCCATATTTTACAACAGTTGCTGTTTTATGAAGGCAAAGCCATTTCTTGTGTACTAAAACATCAAAGTGCTAAAAAAATCAAGATGATGTAATAATAGCAGCCAATGAGGTTAAGGGGACAGATTGCTTAACACACCCTAAACAGTTCAGAAAGGTCAAAGAGAGCTTAAGAAACACACTTCTTTTTCTTATCTTATTTGGAAAGAATTTAAATAACATATCAGAGGACACGCTAATCCCTAGGTACATAAGACAAAAGGCAGAAAGCAGAAAGAATGCTCATGGAAAGTCCTGGAAATATGGCCTTAAAAGTTAATCAATAAAGTGTCTATTTCTGCTCAAGCACAATGGGACCTGGCTGCAGTTTCAAACGATCAATACTACAAATTATTACAATTTCCACATCTCCCACTGGAAATTCAAGGTAAAAAAAAAGAGCGGAAGACTTTTCACACAAAATTTCCAGTTCCATATTTTATTGAAATGTAAACCTAAACATGCTTATTTTTTCAGCATTTCTCAGTCGGCTGTGATTAGCACAAGCTCATAACCCTCTGGAAAAAATATATTTAAACGTGGATTGCAACTGTACCATTTAAATTACTTTTTGCTGTAACCACTAGCAAAATTTTGCTTACTTTCAGTCACCAATACATGATCGTGCTACCTTTGAAATTTTCATTTTGAAATTAGGAATGGGTTCCTTCGGCTACCATGTAAAGGAGATTCAGCAGATATTTACAGCTTTATGCTGTCATTGCGTTGCAAAAAACAAGTGTGTGTCAGTCTGGTTTACATTTCAACAGGAACAGCATTCTGCCAAAAAGACTTTTAGCAGCAGTAACAGACCGGAGCACATCGGGCGGCCTTCAGAGTTTCAGCCTTGCCAAGAAACAACTACTAGTCGTTGGAGAGAGGAAACAGGGGAATCATCTCCTCTAAAGCCCAGGAATAACAGAATGCAAGGCTCCATCGTCTGGGTTCTATAATTAACACCAGTGTGACCTTTACCACCCATCTTTAAACAAGAACAGAAGAAGGTAAAGAACAGAAGGCATCACATCTAAAAATCCTCCTTCGATCTGTGCTTTGATTTGCTGAAATACTGTATGATTAGGTTATGATTTTACAATTCCTTCAAATGACGTCGCTATCACATAAGCAAGTACTTTTTAATTTTTTGTTTAACGGGAGCATAATTTGCAAAGTATGTGCAAAAAATTAAAACACAATTTTAATTTAAAATTAAAAGCCAAAAGAACAAACAACATTTGAAGTGCTGTAACTGACAGATCTTTTTTTTCTGTTCTTCCTAATTTTTTTTCAGAGAATATTCTTTGCAAATGAATAGCCCCGTGCTTAAATCATGCGTCTTTCTCTACTGCTCTATAAATAATAGAGAAAAGACTGAAGAGAGAAATAAGATATATTTTAATCATCTCCTTTGTCTGTTGCATTGCATTTTTCTGAGTTGATTCCCCAACACACAAAGGAAAGCCGTCTACTCCACAGAGCAAGCTGCGTCCTCGTCAGTTTCTTACTTGTGCTCCGTAACTTCAGCCTCCGCCGCTAAAACCCGCTCTTTCATGGTCTTTAGCTCAGTCTGAAACTTTCGGCTTGTCTGCTCCTGGCGAACAGTCTCTGCCACCCTCTCAGTCAGCTGGTCCTGTGTTGCTTTTAAGCTGGATTCCATTAAAAGAAACTTCTCATCCCGCCTGGCAAGCTCTTGGGCTGAAAGATTCGCCATTGAAGTAAGAAGAAGAAAGGTGTCAGACCGTGTAAAAAAAGGGGGCCGAAGAATATTTAAGCATCTATAAGAAGATTACGGAGTTCATCCAATCTTTCAGTAAACAGGCTGATGCTATTAAACTGTTCTAAAATTTCCAACACACAGAAAAAGAAGACATTCAAGGCTGGAGCACTAGAGCAATTTTAGCAGACCATATTACAAGTTCAAGATTAATATTATTTGCAATAATATAATTTGGTTATTAAGTGGCAAAATATAAAATATGTATTGGTTTATATTTGCAGTATATGATTAAAGAGTTGAATTACTAAAAGAGGATACAGATTCTAAAAACAACATCATGGATTACCACTGAAAAGAAGAAATATTAATATAATGGCATTTTTTACAAAAAGCAATTTAAGGAAATTGATTTTAAAACTTGAGAGGTGCTTTTAAAATTCCCTGTATAAAAACGGGAATTTATACAACTTGATTTTTTTAAATATAAGAATTACGTTTAACAGCAAAATCAAATACCCCTGTTTTTATTTTCATTTTGAATAGCAGTAAAATTAAAAATATTAAATTATGAATAAACCATTAGAAAAGAAAACATGTATCAAAACATCTGTTAATTTGCAATGTTAGTAGCAACTCACTATGTTAAATGGTCAAATCTGATATCACTGTAACACTATTGTTCCATATTTCTTCACATGGAGACGCTTCCTTGCCACACAATAGAACTGCATGTCCCCATTCACCAATAGATGGAGCTCTTTACTCGGGACTCAGCCCTGCAGAACTGTTACATTGCATTCAACCAAAACACTTTATTTTCTGTATTCTACATGAAAAAAAATCCTCTTGTTCTGTGTTTAGTACATTTAGCATATAGCGCGTGTATATAAATGACAAGCCTTCGGCACTCATGTTGAGGAAAACCTGCATTTTTATCGTTTTGATTTCAAGCGGGGGCAAATTTGTTATAAAGGAGACATTAAAGAAAACCATCTCTCGTCCGCTTCTCATTACAGTCTAAAGCTACTTCCACCCAGATTACCGTTTCTGTCACTTCAGTGTCTTGATGAAGGCGCCACTCCATACAGACCTGGGCTCGGTTTTGTTTTTTTGACATCAAGTGGAACTCCTCAATGGGTGGCAAGTATGAAGTGCTCCACAGAATGCGAGGGGGGATTTCAATGCCATTTGGGGGTGGGGAGCTGGCAACAAAAATGAACCCTAACAGCCCGGGAGGGTGAAGACATGATTAATTTATGGCATGGCAGTAACCGAACTGTTTAAACCTGAGCTGAAGGAAAATCACACTGCGAACCTGGATCACTACATGTTTAATACGGCACAAATTTTGTAGCTCATCTTAAACTGAAGAATCAATCAGAGAGATGAACCACACAAAAAAATCCTGTTTCAGATCTGGACAATCAGAAACGTGTTTGAATTCAGACAATTACCATAGCAAGACACACACTTGCCCTAAGGAGGTGCAATTCTCAGACTAAAAGCACCACCACACACAGGTCTTTATACACAGATGGCAGAAATGCAAAAGCTCACAATGCAAATGTTCAGGTACTGACACGGCTGTTAACAAAGCAAAGCTGAGTGTGTGTGTGTGTGTGTGTGTGTAACTCGACAAACTGCCCTTCTAAAAATGTAGGCAGTATTCACAGCCCTCCCTTTGTGTATGCTTCTAATAAAAAAACCTACCAGACCTGAGGAATGGTGTCTACAGAAGGGGCAAGTGGTGCTCAGCGAGCACGTTCTGAAGCAGGGAGCGCTTGCCGACGCTACACCGGATCTTTAACCTTCAAGAACACATCACAGGATGCAGCCCGATAGGTGCCATCAGATAAACTTCAGAGCTGGCGAGCGCCGTCCAGGGGGCTTTTAAATTCAATCTGTCTGCAGGTATCAGTATATGCAAGCAAACGGGGGTTAAAAATTGCATCAAATGAAGTTTACCTTTGCCTTGGATTTGAGCCTGAGCTGATTCCAAGCCAGAGGCACTAGCAGCTGCTGCTTTATTTACAATCCCTTTGGCAGACTTACAACTGCCCCAGGCTATAACACAGTGTACCTAATGTTCAAACTGGCAGGTAATCTTATGTCAAACATACTCCTTTGATATAAAGTGATCAATAGATTCTTGTAAAGAAGTAATTTCTCTGATGTTTCTACCAAGATTTTTTTTTTACAGGTGATTCACACAAAAGCCCTGTTGTATGATTTCGAACAATAAATAGAAGGCTATAATCGTGTGTTTAGATGTTTCCGGTGCACAACGATTTCAGATCAATAGCTCCATGTAATACAATTATCTGCAATGATCTGGTCGTATTGAAAAGAGTTTGCACCAGACCTCTGGGGATCTTAAAACAAAAACACATCCACAGAAATAAGACAGACTCTATAATAAACATTGTGGGATTAATTGGGACAAAATATTCAAGACATCATTATCTCAGGTAATTTGAATTAAAACTTGAAATTTCCTAACAGGAATATCAGGGAAATGGGTCTGCTTTAATAAAGCCCATCTTACCTTAAACGTTTCTCTTTAAATATTTTTTAAAATATTTTATAATTCAAGTGATAGAAATAATATTTCTCAAAATTCACAATTATTTAAGCCTTTTTGCAAATGTTTGATGAAGGAAGATAAATCATGAAAATAAAAATGATGTTATTTGTAATGTTTTTCTCTGTCAGTGCGGTCAGATAAAACATAACGGAGACTGCGATAGGAAACGTGTTCTTCTTAAATTTTAAGATGGATTCAGACTAGTAGCTCTTTAAAGATGGGTGATACTTCTAAAAAGATAATCTCTCAGAACAAGAAAGATATCTGATCTCTAACCTTTTTGCCACATTTTGCATTTTCATTGGAGAACATGCATCATACGTAGTCTTTTAATGGTGTGCTTTCATCGCCCGTGACATCAACTAACTATTTTTCACCTTTTAGGTATTTGTAACATTTACATTTAAACGTTTTACTGTAGGAATTATGTACTTAGGATACTCCAATTAGAAAGCAATGTATCATTTCCAGGAGACTCTTACTTCTTTATGCCTAGTAAAGCTCATACAGAGAGAGGTGTCATAAATCATGTTGTCATGGCCACCCAATCGGAGGACTGTGTTTTCTGCAGAAATGGGCATATACGCATGTATATAGCTGTATACTAACTGACAATCCATTAACGCGCATGCATATTTTACAGCTAGATTAAACATGGAGCTGTAAGACAACAACACCAAGGACATGGCCAGAGTTTGTTGCTATTAAGTGGAAGACAAGCTATCTATACAATTTGATTTCTCAGAGGAAAATAATATAACTCCAGTTATTCCTTTTGATTTTTTTAATTGAAACTTCCAGTCAGAGCCTGTAAACATCACTCATCCTCAGACACTTTTACTTCTTTAAAAGTGAAAACATTGTAGAAGGACAGCTGATTCTGGGACAGGAGCTTAAACAGGGTACCTTCTTAAGCAACAGAAAGGCCCACATACAATCTCAGGTAGATACTGACTGTGCCTCTGTGGTCATAAGGCTCTAAAATACATACATGTATTGATACTTCTCTGTAACAAAGGAAGCTTTTAAGATTTCAAGGGTTTTCCTCTGTGATTTTAAATAACGTTTCCTTAGACGCTACTGATGAAAGGTTTCATGGTGCAGCCGGCACAAACCTTTAATTTTTATCATTCGACTTCTGCACGGGCACAGGCTGCTGAATTTACCCAGAGGCACTAGCAGTCTTCTGATCATACATCCCCAAGAGAAAAAGTGTAATCTGGTGCGTTGGACAACCTCCCACTTAATATGCAATTTCTGCCACCTGACACAAAGAACATAATCATCGAAATTTATACTAAATCAATACTTCTGATTAGAATAAAAACATCAATCATGACTATTAATACGCTCTTTTATGACTTGGTAACACTGTAAGGGTAGTTTGCATGTAGATTGAAAATAAATCACACAGCGTCTAACCATGTGGCTCTGACCACGTATGTATTATGTATATTATTCTTCTGTCTCTCTGGATAACACCCAATTGTAGTAGCCTATACCAAATTAGGGTTTTCATAAGATATCATTATATGGTACCATTAGGAATATTACAGTGCTATTAACATTTATAACCGGATTTTAAAAAAGTCCTTTGGTTTTTAACCATTCAAACTATGGTGCCCCAAAACACTGGATGGCATTATAATCACTGCTCTCAGTTATGCGTTTGCTTATTGCTATTATGTGCACGTCTTATTTTAACAAACGCCCAATTCGCATAGTGTCAGTGTCTTAAAATCACTGCCACGTGATAGGCCCTTGGAATGAATCCACCACTGTCACGTTAAAGATTTAGCTTCCCCTGTAACGTGTGCGGCACGTTCACATTTCATCCGCTCCCCAAAGTGATAATGGTGGCACTCGGTGACGCAGGTCACCGAGGTTATTCTGGCCAAAATCTGTTGCCGATGTGGAGCCATCTAAATCGCCCACATGATCCCAAATGCAGCTGAGTCATTCCTCAGTGTTGTTAAGATTCTGGCCCTAATTCTACACCATTATTCCTTCCCTGAAAAGCAGACAGATATTCTACATCCCCCCGTTTCCAGCTGGCAACACTGCAGCTTCATTAGGCCTCAGACACGAAGCAGCCACAGACACCACTTGGCACACTGTACATACTCTACAGTAACTATACGACACATTTTTCCCAGCTATATAAATGGAATTTGTTGTGTACAAGAAGCTTTAATGGATCTAATCTTTGTTGGGTTAGTTATTGTTTACATGCACCCCGATGAATACACAAATGAGCTGCAAAGCAGAGACATTTGCAGTTTCATCATTTAAATAATACATGTGTAGCACATTTACTAGAACTTACACTGAATCCCCAAAAAATATGAAAATGTGGAAGTAATCAGATTAAAGCTGAACACCACACCAGAAAAGCAGCAATATAATAATTGATTTAATTGATCATTACTGTTTAGTTTTTGGACTGGACGTGAAAGTCTAAAAACTGAATTTTATAATATTGAACTTTAAATACTGTAGTTCATAATGGGAAATGATGAAACTCTGCAAACTAATTGGTGATGTGTTTTATGTTAACAAAGAAACGGTGCTCAAATTTAAGCACTAGAATAACTACGATATTGCTACCATCTACAGAACCACAAGGAACTGGTTATCTTGGGATGCACTACTAAGTAATACTAAAATTGACAATGGACAAAGACAAGAAAATGTATTTGTGACTGTGCTATAAGAGGGTCTTTGATCTGACATACACACCTCATCAGTGGGTGCAAGGTGAACATGTAAACAAACCAGGAGTTTAGGGAACAATAATGTCACTGTTTATCTGTATAACCTGCCAGTGATATGAAAGTGCTGAGACACAAGGGGTAACTGAGAACACAGCATCAGAAAGGGTGCACTAAACACAAGCTTCTTAAAGTTGTTTGTTAGTTCAGCCAGTCGCACACACATATATCCTAAGTACAATGGGGTACACAACACATGTTTGGCTGACTCTCACCCCGTAAATCTTGGGATGTATTACAGATCGGTTCGGTTTCAGAATCACACATGATAGCAGAGCAGTGATTTAAGAGACTTGCCAGCAACAGAGGTGCAATTTATAGCACTACACATCCAGCCCTACTGTTTAGCTTATTTGATTTCTCCAAGTGCCAGAGAGGACGCAAGCACACCTCTGCAGCTGTGCCCTAGAAATGAGACTTTATCTCCTCGAGCCGTGATGGATCTTGACAATTAGGGATCAGGGCGAATGCAAAAACACAGAGAGAGAATGTTACTGGTGCTCAGGTTCAAACAAAGCTTACAGAAACCATGACAGGAAGCACCCCTACACAGCCTCATTAGACTTGTTTTTACCTGCTCCAAAGGAAGGACCGGGGAGAATTCTAAACATCAAAATATAAATCTACATTTTTTACACAGATCAGGTAAAACAGTTTTTGTCCATAATTACCGTTATTCTATCTGATGTTTTTGTGTTTTGCTTATTTTTTTCATAGTGGAGAGCAAAGGCATTTTAAAACATAAAGGGGATCTGGCTGGCTTATGTTTGGCCATTTAAAAAGCCACAGAGAGTTCAGAGCACAGCGACTGTCCATGACCCCTCCTTCACTGCAGCGCCGAAGACAGCGCACCTCTACAAGCACCTGTGAAGGTGGACAGAGAACCTCTTGCAGTCCAGGGATCGCCCTGTCTGAAGGCCCCCAAGTGTGACTGAAGCTTCGCAGGTTAATGCTTAATGAGGACTATTTAAAAAAGGTGCAATGTTGTCGGTCTCTACTGAAGACAGTGCGCAACACAGATCTGTGCAGCTGTAAAAGGTGTGTTTTCTACAAGTCATAGCTTTACTAAGTTCTAGTTAGCTTAAAAGACACCAGGCTGGTGCCTGAGAGCTACACACAAACCCTGGTCATTACACTCAAGCTGCAGGAAATAAGATTGTCAGCGTAATCAGCAGATAAAAATTCAAATACCCAAGAACTGCTGATAAACAGACCTTTCTTTCACAAGTCTCTGTAAATATGAGATGCTGGAATTATGAGAAGATGGAAAATTGGCTTTTTCCTTCTCAGGTGCTAACAGGGTCAATCTGTCTTTCTTTATTAATTGCAGTGAAGCACCATGATGCTCCCGTAGTCATTTCATTGTGCTCCCCAAACTGGAATGCAGCAGGTCTGCAGTGCGATCTCAGAACGAGTCCCCAGAGGAGGTCAGATGCAATCCGGAGTGCTCATCTCTGGATATGGCTCACTGAAAGCCCAGAGCTGCAGACATTCACTTAATTAAAAACTGATATGAATAATTCCTCAGGGCCTGCCTGCACAGGGAAAGCACCCAAATCAGGAATTCCCAAATTAAAAAAAAATCTTCAAGGCTTTCTCGGCAGCTTAACACAAAGGCAAATGTACCCTCTTTCTGCAGACTTATATTATTAAGAAAGTTCAATAAACCTCCTAAGTTTGAGGAGGATAAGTGGGGGCAGGAACACAGCTAAAGTCGGCGCCTTGACACGAATCACAGGCCCAGCCAATCTGGAATATCTGCCAGATGGAAATGGAAATGCTAGGGGTGCACGCTTTTAATATTTATTAGGTACCGTCAAGCCACCTCAAGGAGGTGACCTTTGCGAAATGTGCTGTGCTGGCCATGGTGACGTCTGCACTGCGCACACACGCTACGGAGCCCGGCTCTGCCGGCCTCGGCATCCCGCCTCGTGCCCTCGAGCCCTGGCCCGTCTCCCGAGCACGCGGGAACGGGTGCCGAGGTGCAGAGAGTAACAGCTCCCCTCACAGGGCTCTCTCCGGTGTCCTCCCCCGGCGCTCGGACAGGACGATAAATCATCCACAAAGGACTAACATGACCAGCAGGCGCTGCGTCGGAGAGTTCTAGAAAATTGGCTTGAATTAACATTTCTGGCAATAACTGGTCTGCAGTTCAGTTTTATTTTTGGTGGAGGAAGGCATTGGGGGGGCACTTTTTAGTCTAGCAGTATTGAGCAATTAACACATTTTCTTTAGCAGCAGCTGCAAATCTGTGATTTCATATATTGACATTAAGCATTTTCTCATTATGTCAATTTATAAAACATGTTATTTTTATTTTTTTATGCCCATAAGATTATTTTTATATTAGGTCTGTTTCAAAAGAATGCGTGAACATTTATAAACTACTCCTTCTGGCCTTTTTTTTTTTTACAAAACTGAGAAATACAATGGTAGAAATATCTAAAACAGTATTCATAAATATTGCATAAACTCTCATTCCAAGAAACTAATTGCACTTTTTATTTCACAAGTTCTCAACATAACCACATTAGAGCGACTTATAGATATCCTCACAATAAAAGTTTGTCATGACTCTGAAATTTTTGTTTATTATACTTTCATTTCTTTATAAAACATAATATTTTATTATTTTTCTTTATGGAAAATGTTATTATTTCCTCCTTCTTATTCGCTCCTTGGTTGCACAACGGTGTCCAAGACATTCCTTAGAGAACAGAATATTACCATGTTTTGAAGACTGGATTTACATGGCATCAGAAGTGTAGCTTTGTGTGGCACACATTAGCAATACTAATATACCAATTACATCAATCTCAAACACGAGGAGGTATAAGGAAAACACAGAAAGATACAGAAGATGAGAAAATGCATCAAGCGTTTAAGAAGATAAGTCAGGTCAAGGAATATAATTAATGTGATAGAAATCTGTCTTAGCCTTTTAAGGTAATCCTTATGGACAACCTCTGAAAACACTCAAGCAAAACGTCTTTTACTAACATGCAAATGCTCTTTACATTTAATTGTCATGTTTTAACAAAATAACCTTCTAGAATTCAAAGCTTAAAGGAAATTTGTCACTATCTTATAATGAGGTGGAACGACTGCATTTTTTTCCTATAAAAAATTCTCAATAGTTCTTGCATGAACACAGCTAAAACACACTTTAATTTTCAATCTTAAAACTTGTAAACACTACTCATATGCTACAAAAGAGGATATAACACAACGATAAAAGTTTTAAGAGAATTATATGTATGCAAATTATACATGTAACCTCACAGAGCAATTGAAAGAGTATACACATACACCGAGAGGCAATAAAACACAAAGCACGCTATTGGTCCCGATACTCATTTATTTAGTTTTTAAGCTTTGCAGTATATATATTCAATTGTTCAGTGAGGTTACATAAGTCAATAGGCTCCTACGTCCGTCGTGATCACGTAAAGTGAACCTCTCCTCCCAGAACAGAAAACAGAACCTTTTCAGAATTCGAAGCACATAAACCATATCAAATTGGTTGAAAAGCAGGAATTCTACCTGTTTCTCTGTACTGCCCGCGAATCTCCTGGAGCTCCCGATTCAGCTGTTGTATTTCGCTCCTCAAAGCCAGATTCTCCTTTTGTTTTTGACTTTTGTCCTTTTCCAAAGTCTGGATATCACTTTTCAGGCTGTTGACCGTGCTTTCCAGATGCTCCACCTCGGACACTTTGCCTTTGATAGTCTCCCTTGTCTGTAGAAGGTCAGACTCTGACTTCTTTAGAAGGTCATCTCTTTTTCGAATTGCCTAACAAAAAAAATCCTTTTAAGTTAAAAAACAGCATGATATACAGCTGGAGGAAACATCGCATTTATGACACAGTTAAGTTTAGAACTCTTTTATCACGTTTCCACCTGTAATGTAAGTTTGTATGCATGCCATTTCTACTTAATTTAGATTCTTTAAATTGTACTGACAGTTTTCTAGATATTAAGGTGTTTATTTTTATGCGCTCTTAGAAACATGAAGGAGTACAAAATATTTTTGGAGTTAATACAGAGACTACAGAGCAATACTGAATAAAAGGCAATTAAACACTGCCTCACATTAGTAAGTTCCTCAATTTTTATAACTTGTTTCTTGTAACCTGTTGAGTGCATTTGAATTTATTCTGGTGTTATAAACAAATATATAATAATGATTAACCATTCTTAATTCTGAAGAAATTGGTACACATACAGTAATTAAAAATATATTTTTTCAGTAAATCTAAAAGAAGGCGAAAGCGCTTGTGTACACAAGTGTGTTTTTGCACGTCTTTCCAGACATCAAACATCATTTCAGCAGGTATTCAGAAATGGCGGCTTCCCCTGGCACTGCTCCATGCCACAGTTCTCTATCACGTTCTATCATGTTTCCCTTCATTTGAATATTTAGTAGCCTTTCATGTCTTAATTGCAGCAAATTGCACTCAGTTGGCATGATTTCTTGAAATTAATCCCAGACTAATTTGTTTCTGTCAAGCAATCAAAGCCTTAGAGAATAACAGTAAATGTTATTACAGATCTGCATTGAAATGACTGTCTATGTATTTAACTTGCACCTTTAAGTATTGGTACAAAACTGTTTTGGTTGAAAAGTCAGGACCCTTTTATCGTGAATAAAATTATGTTTGACATTAATAGTCACCACTGCTACATTTACACCTATACTGAGAATTAGGGCAGAATTCATGCTTTTTTTTTCTTAGCATTTATCAAATATTGATAATATAGTCCAGAACAGGGATGCAGAGCGTGTCAATCACAAATTGCCATGTGCTAATTTATGTCTAAGACACAGGAAACATGAACTGGGGATATGTGTTCAGGGATCCTGGGAGCAGTCACTGTGGTCACCACTCAAAAATCTAGTTGGTTCAAACAGTATAAAATAGCCCGGCAAGCCACATACATAATGAGTAAAATATTCCCCAAGTCAAGGCTGTTAAGCTGAAGCTAAAGTGGATAATAATAGACACCCTTCTCTTCCCTAAATCTGCTATATATATATAACCCCTAATTGCAGTGTGTCCATGGATCATGCTAGTGTTGCATTATTGAGAATAAGATGATCTGAACTGTCCACTTGTGCAAGTACATAAACTATTTGGAATGGGGGTCAGAAGCTTTGAAAAAGCAGCTAATTTTCGCATTTTAATGCAAACTGTTAGTGATATGCATGTAATTAAAATTCATCTTCAAGGGGAATGAAAAGAGATTTAAGAGAGCGTGTGGAAAAAAATAATAAATGGAGCTTTGCCAACTAGATGCTTCAGAGTCGTGATTAATTTCAAATACTGCACTTTCCAATGCTCAAAGCACGATCAATATTCAACACAGTGTGAAAACAGCTCTCTCATGTTGTATCTTTTGTAGCCAACATGCCTCATTAATTAATTAAAAGATTTCAAAATCTATATAAGTTAAAAAACTAATGTTTTTTTCATCATTCAAGGACTTTCATTTTTCAGAACATGACTGTCTTAAAAAAAAAAAGTTGTACGCCAAAGTTTGCAGGTGTACAGCTTCTCCCGTCAATGTGCTTAGTTAGCCCTGTTCCAGTCTCGCCAGACCCTGTCATGAAAACAGAAAGAAGAAGAAAGAGAAAGCACCAGACCTGATCCTTCTGGACACAGAGCTTCCTGGCATCCGTGAGGTCCACTTCAAGCTGAGCAACCTCCTGCTGGAGCCGGACAACGGCCACCTTGTGCTCCTGCTGCGCAGAAGCCACGTCCAGGTGCAAAGACTGGAGAGTTTGCTCCAGCCTCTCCACCTCCAGGGCACGCCTGTCCCGCTGCTCCGCGGCCCGCGCGGCCTCCGCCCGGAGCTGTGGCACGGCCCTCTCGCACTCCGCGCTCCTCGCCGCCTGCTCCGCGCTCTGGCGCCGCGTGGCCGCCAGCTCCTGTCGGCACAGCAGGCAACAACCGTTCCAGTGGCAGGGAACACCGAGAGGCAAGGCCCGTTCACGGCCACATGCCCGGACAAGGAAGGCAGGAGATGAAGCAAAAAAAAAAAGTTTGCGAAAGGCCAGCAGTGGAAGTAGCTAAAAACGAGCAGTGATGGAAAGAAATTTCCTTGTCACGAGGTCGTTTGGGAAATGGACAGAAAAAACAATACTCTCGAGCAAACTAACTGTAGAAACAGAATAAAAGGCACAGCAGAGCTGGCTGGTTCACACACAGGAGCCATGAATGCATCCTATGACTGCAGTGTGTGTTATACCAGAGAACCGAGGTACATGACAAAGTTATTTTCACACCTAATGGCCTTAGCTCCAGCAGGTAACTGCAGCACCTGTGTCTTTGAATCACATAGACCTCTCTCTGTGCTTACAGGACCTTAACAGCAGTGCTGCAGGTTCAGATGTTACTTCAGATGCATGTATGTGTGAGTTTGTGGGGAAGGGTATCTGAAAGAATGGAAAACCAAGTGCAGAAAAGTGTAACGCTGGGTAAAGTGAAGCTGTGCGTCAAAACAAACCAAAAAAAAGCACCAAAACCGGTTTAACGTTTGTCCCACAATGCCAGACGGGACGGGAATTTCACAGCACTTGCAGGACGCAGCCCTCACCCAGGTACTGTAGGGCACTGCTGGCAAGAGTCACATACTGCAAATGACCAGGGGGCAAAGCAGTGAAATAAGGAGAGGCACAGGACACACCTGCAGAGACAGGGAGAGTGTGGCTCTCACATCAGGCGAAGGCTTACCTGCTGCAGGTGTGCGCAGCGAGCCCGCTGAGCTTCGTGCTCCTCATTCGAGCAGCTGTGGGTGGACTGGTATGACACGAGCTCAGACTGCAGCTGGAGAGCTGCATTCTGCTGGTCTGACAGCTGGATGAGACACCGGTATCAAAGAAATGTTAATCAGAAGTGACCGAACAGCTGTCTGCATTTTTCTAGTCAACATTTATTTTGCATGCTTTTTTTAAAATTATATACACAACCCAATTCATGATCACCAATTGAGTTTTTTAACGACTTGGCACACAGAAACGAATTGAGTGCCTACACAGGGAGAATGAGGAACACCAGATGATGTTTAAAAATGTTTGTCCACAACTACACAGAAATCATCAATATCATTACATGAGCAGCATTACTGTAACAAACATTGTTCTTCAAGCAGCAAAAGAAATAGGAGTGCAGTATTTGTGTGTTCTGGAGCTCATCGAAGCATCAAGCTGTTAAGAGATAATAACCCGCTCAACAAAGCCAAGAGATTCAAACTCATTACTAAATGTAATAAAGTATAAAATACAGTCATTCTTCAAACCGGTCACTCTTTTATAACATAGAAATTAAATTTTATTTGATTAAAATTACATTCCACCAGTCTGACCTTGTAGGCAACAGTGAAGTTCATACAAATTAAATTTCTCTGCAATAAAAACATGATTCATTTGTTGCCAGCAAGGAAAGAGGCAAAGCCAGTCTGACACCAGCAAAGCTTTCTTCATCTGGCCCTTAAAACAGCTCACATCAAGCACCAGCCACTTTATATTGATGCTATGAAATACCCCAAAACCATTAAAAAATAACAATAATGACGTTAGCATATCAAGTTGTATCATATTAAAGGTAAATGAAAATAAAATGAGTGATGGCCAAACTAACTTCTACAACCGCTAAAACTCATTTATATCTGTACTTTCTCAGCGCTATACTGTAGAATTGCCATAAATTGTTGGCATGAGCAGCTGACCTCTTTGTGTGTGGCTTCCACCTCTTCCTGTAGTTTCTGTATTAAATGTTCACACTCAAGGATGCGGTCATTGCTGTTCTTTAGGTCATCCCGAGCTGCCTGTAGTTCTTCTGTTAGCTGGTCCATTGCCTCCTCAGAATTTTCAATCTGGTTACATTTCTCCTCATAGCGATGCTCCAGGTTCACTATTTCAGCTTTCAGCTCGCTGACCATATCGTGTGCCTGAAGGACCTGAAACAGGGAAAAATGTGTTCATGTGAAAATAATGCTGAGCCATATTTATTAAATACAAGAACAATATGTTTTGTAAAGGTATTCTTAAGCATTTGTTATTTAGCCAGCACTCTGGCTAAAACTACAAAGTCTTTACCCTCGACAGCATACTAATCCATTTTGTGTGAAAATCTGGACAAGGAGTATTTTGTGGTATGAGATCCTTCCTAAAAAGATGTTTTTTCCATTAAATGTAAGATCGCTAACAGTTATCATACCACATCTTATCTGGGGAACAAAGATGACATGAACACACCCACGTATTGATTCTTGTTGCATGTTCTGCACCTTTTGATCTACTGATTATTAGAATGTGGAATTTTTTAAGAAAGCAAAAACTCCACATGGCTAACTGTTCACTGCTTTAGCACCCCTCCAAACAGTCAAAGAACAAGATTTAAAGTAATTTAAAGAAATAAAAATGAAATATGAATATTAGTGCATTTATCTGGACTTTTGGACACCAGTCAGAAGGCCAGTCCGGGGAAGGAGTATATCTTGCTTTCATTAGGATTCCTTACAATGGTCAGCACCTCAATAAGACTGACTGTCGCAGTGGAAAGAGGAGTCCTCACTTATACATGATTGATTATTTGTTTTCGTGGAGTGGTTTTACTGATCCTCTCTGGCTCTATGCATTGAGTCAGATCTGCACACCCAGTTACACCTGTACAGTGCGTACAAGAGTGAGTCAGACCTGCCCTTGGGGGTCAGACTTGAGCACAGAGTCAGACCTGGACAGCGAGTCAGACCATGGCACAGAGTCAGACCATGGCACAGAGTCAGACCTGTGCTTGGGGGTCAGACCTGGACAGCGAGTCAGACCATGGCAGCGAGTCAGACCAGCGCTTGGGGGTCAGACCTGAGCACAGAGTCAGAATTGAGAACAGAGTCAGACCAGGCACAGAGTCAGACCATGGCACAGAGTCAGACCTGCGCTTGGGGGTCAGACCTGAGCACAGAGTCAGACCATGGCACAGAGACAGACCTGTGCTCCTGGAGCCAGTCTGTCTGGATGGGCGGTCTCGTTGCTAGCAATGGCACACAGGAGAGCAGTGGTGGTGCTGCTGTATGAAGAGACGGGCAGAGAAACTGGGGACAGCAGTCCTAGGCTTCCCTCCCTCCTTCCGCCTGGTGAACAGGTGGATTGTGTTTTTTATTGACTGTCAACCCATGTAAGGTAAACTGCCCTGAATAATGTGACCTGTCACGAAGTACGAGTCTTCTGCTATATTTATTAGACTGCTTTAATGTCGGCTGTATAATGACATATTATATAACGCCATAATGATACTCATTCTGTTGGTTCTGATTAAATCAGAGAACCCTTGTCATAAATCCACTGAACTCCCAAAGACCAGACAGTTCATATAAGAACCATGCTCAATCCGAACTGCCCGCATACAGACCATCTTTTAAAAGATACTTCTTGTTATTTAGCTGACGTCCCTGTTTAATTGTCTCTACCCGGTCCAGCCACAACAGAGGCCTGGCCAACACAGCCGTGCTCCCTGGTCCTCGTCTTCCTTCAGTAATCACCTGGTCAGGGTTCCCTAAAAGCAGCCAGCCGGGAAACCCCCACAACTCATACATTTCCGAATCCACCAGCACATGAATGCCGGAGGATTGGAAATCGGGGTCGCATCCCTGTGTTGTGCCAGCAGCACAGGAGTTAGTCACCTCCTCCACAAACACCTGAGGGGTCTCGTCCATTAGAGTGTGTCAGAGCAAGGCGTTCTGCACAAGGTGACTGTGTGAGCACCACTACATACGCAGCCTAAAGAGCAGAACCCGGCCCGGGGAGCAGCTAGCTAGGGCACCTCCTTCACCTCATTCTCGTATCAGAACGGTGCTGACGGCAGGAGAGAGCACCTCGGCATGCTCCCTGCGTCGCGGCCTCTATCACTCCACGGTCGACAAGGAGCACTGAGAGCAGGTGCTCTCCAGGACATCACCCGCGAGAGACCGGTGATTCTGGATCCGGAAAGAGCGAGCCAGCGAGCGAGCTCCGCCAGGGGTGGGCCATCACGGGCGGGAGACCCGGAGTGGGGGCCGCGCCCCTGCGAGGGAAGTATGCAAGCCCTGGAGTGGCAGTCTTTATTCCGTTCACTCAGGGGCCACGAGGGCAAACGTCAGCCAGCGAGAGAAAAACCTCTCCCCCGAGGTGAAGTGCTCTTCTTCTGCTTCCCTGAATGACGGCCCATTCCAAGGCGCAGGCTTCCTGAATGCTGGCGCGATCAATACACACATTCCTCGCGGTTTAGCGCCGACACAGACAATACCGCAGCACAGCTGAGGTTAACGTCTTCTTGAAGACCTGGGTACTACCAGCAGAAAACCTCTCTGCAGTCTCCTGAAAAATGAAAGCCTGCTCATTGTCTGTGTATTCGCTGCTCAAGAGACCACTACAATCCAGCTACTAATTTTCCTATTAATTGGAAATTTAATACAAAGCCGACCGTCCAGGATCCAATATTTTGTCAAAATACATTTACTGCAACCCCGTTCTCTCTCTGCTGCATGACAGTGGGTCATACAGCATCAGTTTACTCTTAACACAAGAGTTTTCCCATTAATCTTTTTGATAAAAACAGTGAAGGAGCATATCTTTGATGGAATGTTAAAGTGGAAACAGATTTCTTTTTATTTGAAAGCTTCTATTTTTCATGGCCAGCTATTGAGATTGCTTCATTGCACAGACTGTCTTCAAATGAATTGTTTTCTGTTGGTCTCTGCGAGTTTGTTTTATGCCCATATTTCTTTGTCATACCAAAACTTTCTTTAGATCTTAAAAAGTACATAAAATAATAAATTAAATCAACTGAATACTTTCATGGTAAAATCTACATTTCACATAGTCCAGGCAACTCACTACAGAATATTTTAGTCATGAGCGTTAGATTTTTATATATGTGTCATGGTTTAAGGACTCTCGTGACATGTTTAATATTACACAAGCCATTACACAAGTTCTTGTGATTGCTATTCAGTCCTGGGTGATAAGACTATGTGTAGAAACTAGCCCGCCTCTGCCCTCCATGAGGATTACCTGGTTGTTATAATCTTTGACTTCCTCCTCAAGACTCTGTATCTGTCCCTCCTGTTGCTGCACTTTGTCCATGCTGGCCTGATATTTCTGCTTGAAGATATCAGCAGTTGACTGATGGGCTTTGGCCACAGCATTGCTCTCGTCGAGTTTCACCTGGAGGCCATCTCTCTCCCGCCTGAAGAGAGCCGCTTCCTCAGCT